TTAGTAAAAAGAACCGAATTCCTGTTTTGGATATCATAGCAATCTGTATTTATTTATCTTCTCATCAAATCTCTCAAAAAATAACCTACTTTTTGAGATGTTTAAATGATTATTTTACGGTTAACAACAGAGTCAAAATGGATTTTATGCAATGATATGGTTGCTTCGAGTCCCCAAGTTAGTATGCTGACTTATTTAAATGTCTTATGAGAGCAAAAAATGTATTTTCTTAAACATAATTAAATTAGTTTTGCCCCTTGTATTAATAAAACGACACCACAGTGAGCTGCTGCATGGAGCACCGAAGGCAAGTCAGGAGAACTGTCACACTTTTCAAGAAAAGTTTCTTTGGCTTTCCTTTCTGCCTCTGAGCACAGGAACGCTGGCCATTTACTCATGCAGAAAACTGTCATCACGTACAAGGTGAAATTACTTTTGTACTCCATGACAAGAATTACGTTCCTTCAATATGAAATACTCGGAAACTCTTAGCTCTCCCTCCATTCCCAACTCCACAGACATCCTCCTTCACACCAAATACCAAATCCTTGCCGCCGCCACCTCCTCAGTTTCTGTTGCGGCCTCTCCCTACCATTGCTCACGCCAAGTTCCATCACGCACCTCACCTGGCTCTGCCCGCAGTCTCATCCCTTCCGAATAAAAACCTCCCACACAAACCCACCGCCAAAGGGACATTCGGTACCAGGGAGGATTTTGGAATGTCCGACATCGTGGGGACCATCCTACTTCTTTTAACCCATTTCCCGTTTGCCCCGAGATTACTCACCGGCAGCGCCTGCAACTGCAGGATTCGCCCCAAGATGACGTGAATGAGAGCCCTGACCTCACCCCCAAAGTGTGCCACGAAATACCTCGCTTTTATAATTATTTTCGCATCACTCTAGTACATCGATAGTCTTTGGAAACAAATGACATTCTATTTACAGCACCCTGGTTTTAGTAGTGGTGTTTCCACTTACAAAATATAGTAATTCTTGATCGCTGAAAAGATCTAATTCTTGATCGCTGAAAAGATCAAATCCTAGAAAACGTAGCATTCCCATGCATGTTAACAGTTCTTGAACAGCTGTTAGCCAAAGATTCATTTGATGAATCCGATTTATGTTAGGATTAGAGACAAGTTCTGTTTAGAAATTACTCCAAGAAGTTTTTATATTTTATTTTCGCATTGAAAACCAGTCAGATTTGCTTCAGCCTCAAAGAGTATGTTTATGTAAAGTTAAACGGACGCTGGCAGCGAGCTGCACTTTGTTTTTTTTTCTAAACAGGAAATGGGTTAAAACACGCAGTTGAGATAAAGACTCTCCCTCTACCTAAGCGCCTGGGTGGGACACAGGATCACATGCCAGGCCCCGGACGAGCAGGCATTCTCATAAGTGTGCTGACAACCCTGGGAGGAATCCCTCTGGAGAGAAATTCATCCTCGACCCAGCACCTGGAAACCTATAACGAAGACGACTGACAGAAATACAAAAACTTCTATGCACATGTGCACTCACTGCAACACTGTGTGAGTGTGAAAGGCTGGAAACAGACACATGGCCATCAATAAATGTCTGAAAAACATGATGGTAGTTGTATGAAGACTACGAGCTAGGAAATGAAGGTCTCTCCATGGACTGCTATGCAGTGACCTCCGAGACATACACGAGGCTGGCACACTCCCACCGTGTAAGGAAGAGGCGGAGCTGTGTGCACGTACGTGTGAGTGTATGTGTAAGTGATATGGTATGCAGTACAAACGCGCATATATACACACGCCGACATAAAAACACGCGTGGAAACATCTCACACGCACAGATACCACATATATGTTTGCTTGTATTTTAAAACAGAATCGATAGAAGGAAACAAAATTAATTCCAAGACAAATGATTCCGTTCCTTTAAAAACTGCTATCAAAAATGAGGGAAATTTGTTCTAAATTAAAAGATATTTCAGAGCATGTCAACCAAGTGTGATTTATAGACCTTACATGAATCCTGAGTCAAACTAACTATTATTAAAAAGGCATTTTTAAGACAACTGAAGAAAATCAAACATGAACTGGGTATTAGAGGTATAATTATTAAATTTGCTGAGGGTGATTATGGTATTGTAGTTATACGTTTTTGAAAGTTTTTAATTTAGAGATTTCTCTTTTTTTAAAAAAAAACTGTTTTCTTATTATATAAAGAAATTAGGTCATTTGCCTTATAGAATTGTCTGAGTGTCATTTTAACATATTCCTTTATTCCTTGTATTTTTTGTGAACTGATTATTGTACCTAGAAGCTGATAGATTCAAGTTCAATTTTGTAAGAATATTCCACACGTGGCACTTTATTCTTCTTATATATTGTCCTGCTGTGGAGAATGCTCCTCTCTCTCTCTGTCCTGACGAACACTCATCATTTCACATTTGGCTCAGATGTCACCTCTTTCAGAAAAACCTCGTACCCTGAAGTCCCACACTCTGCTGGCTTTCCGTACTAATCCAATAGCTAACTCTACCAGCACTGGTCTTGCTTACCTGCCTATCTTCCCAATTACACTGTGAACATCTTAGGCACTGGGCCTAGTCTGCAGGAATGGACTCCACAGAGGCCTGAAGCCTACGGGAGTGAGTCCTGGCAAAGTGATCTTTATTTTACTGGTAAACATATCAGATCCGGTCAGCATGTTCCGGCCCAACTATCACACCCAGTAAGCAAGTCGGCACGAAGCCAGAACCTCCAAGGTGGGAGGAAGGACTACTGTTCAGAAAGAAGTGGGACTCCCTGAGGACATTGAAGGGCGCTTCCTGCACCTGGCAGGACCCTTAGGACCCGTCAGTGCAATCGTCCAGGGCTTCATGTCTCAATGGAGGACTAATGGAAGCGCTTCTCAAATGGCAGCATGCGCACGAATAGCCTGGAAACCAAGTTCGAAATGCAGATTCTGGTTCAGGAGGTCTGAGCGGGGGCCAAAGAGTCTGCATTCCAGACGCTGTTGGTCTGCGCGCCACGCTTTAACCAGCAAGGCTCTGGGAGACCAGAAGTCAGCCCTCTCAGGAAACGTGCGGCAGTAATTTCTTCCTTGTAATCACTGCTTTTAAGCTAACATACTGTCATTAAAAAAAAGAAAACCAAACAAATCAAAACTTTAATTTTTCTGCATCTGTCGGCATCTTTCTTCCAACACACCACTGTCCCACCGTAACAACCGTGCAATCTCTTATTCTTCTAAATATCTCCAGCCTAGAGGTTGGGAAGATGGCAGACTAGGTAAAAGCAGGGTTCGTGTCCTCCCAGATCCTCAGTGAAATTACAACCAAATTATAAAATAACGTGGAGAATCACCTGAAGTCCAGCTGATCGTAACACCTACATCTGATAATATAAAGGAGCCACATCAAAGTCGATGTATCTCCTCGGGCAAGGGACAAAAAAGAAAAAAACAAATGGGACTACATCAAACTAAAAAGTTTTTGTACAGCAAAGGAAACTATCAACAACACAAAAAGAAAACCACCGGGAGAAGGTATTCGCTAATGATACATCTGATAAGTGGTTAATATCCAAAATATATAAAGAACTTATATAACTCAACAACAAACAAACAAACAATCCAATTAAAAAATGGGCAGAAGACCTGAACAGATACTTCTCCAAAGAGGAAATACAGATGGCTAACAGACATATGAAACAACGCTCAAGGTCACTAAGCATCAGAGAAAAGCAAATTAAAACCACTATGAGATAGCACCTCACATCTGTCAGAATGGCTGTCATCAGTAAATCAAAAAACAAGTGATGGGGAGGATGCAGAGAAAAGGGAACTCTCACACACTGTTGGTGGGATTGTAAACTGGTACAGCCGCTATGGAAAACAGTATGGAGGTTTCTCAAAAAATTAAAAATGGATATACCTTTTGACTCAGCAATTGCACTTCTAGGCATTTATCCAAAGAAAACCAAAACAATAATTCATAAAGATCTATACACTCCATTATCCACAGCAGCAGAATTTACAACAGCCAAGGTATGGAAGCAATCTAAATGCCCATCAACAGACGATTAGATAAGGAAACTATGGTCCATATATACAATGGAATATTACGCAGCCATTAAAAAAAATGAAATCCTACCATTTGCAGCAACTTGGATAGACCTAGAGGTTATTATGCTGAGTCAAATAAGTCAGACAGAGAAAGATAAATACCATATGATTTCACTTATATGCAGAATCTAAGAACAAAAAGAACAAACTAATCAAAAACAGACTCACAAATATAGTGGATAATTTGGTGTCGGACAGAGGGGAGGGAGTTTGGGGGGATGGGAGAATGAGGTGAAGGGTTAAAGTAGTACAAATTAGTAACTGCACCCAGGGGGAATGCAGTTAGCATTAATATGATGGCAAGGTGGAGGGGCAGGGGAGGGAGGGAGCAACTGGGGAGATCATTTTTGAACTATATAGATGACTAACCAATGTACTGTATACTTGAAGCTAATTTAAATAAATTAAAAATAAATAAATATCTCCAGCCTAAAAAATATAGGCTCTTGATAAATGCTTATTAAATGATGTTCTATATAATCTCAACATATTTAATTCTTTCTCACTTGCTTCTGGTTAAGATATGTTTGTTGACTTGTCGGTCCTTCTCATTTGATTATCGATTCCTTGAAGCCAGAGACTCTTCCCTTTGTGCTGTGGCACAAAGGCTGGCACATGACAAGCACTCAGTGACGTCTGCTGACTGAGCCCCATGACTTACAAGACAAACACGCTACATCTGGGGTCCTGGGCAGATGACTGAAAAAGAACACATCCTTTACTCTGAGGATTTAAAATGCTCTCAAGTATGACTCATTCTCACATACATTCAGTAATCCACACTTAGAGTAGAAAGTAACATACACTCCACTTAAAGATAAGAAAACAGCATAAGAAAGTTACATTACGCTTCTTCATAGACAATATCATCAACACAGGAAAACATTTAATGAAAGGTACCTCGGTCTTCCCACATTCATCGGGCGGATCCTGGTGTATGGCCATTTGATACTTGACATATAAAGAAAATGACTGGCTGAAGGACGACTTGAACTCTGGGTCCTCAAAGGAGACAGGTACTAACCTCACCTTCAGAGCAAGGAAAATACAAGCAAATGCTATTGAAACACCTCCACCCGCTGACATGCTTCTGAAGGTGAGGCCAGAGTAAGATCTCCGCAAATCCATTCCAAAGCTCAGCACTGGGAATGTCACCAAATGAATGGACCCTGGACCCTGGACCAGGCCGACAGGCACAGCCTGGAGCACTGACTTCGCACTAACGCTGATGCAAATTTAACCCAGAAGGAACAAGGCAGTTCATTTCTCTTTTCCTTTGGTTTTTTTTCCAGTGGTTTTCTGCATGCCCTAGAGTCAATAATTATAATTCATTGATATCAATGATAATGCTAATGATAATGGCCACTATTTTGGTCACCACTACAAATAAAGTATTTTAAGCTTTTTCCCTTCTCGGATTTTCCCTAGGTAATCTGATCTGTAACATCACGAGCAGCTGAGGACTTCTGCTGAAACACTGTGCTGTCTACTTTTCCAGTTCCGCCCGCTGTGTATGGGCAGCACAGCAAAAAAGTAAGTCAGCTGTTATAGACCCTTTTGACACATGACTTTCAAATGGAGATAAAGCATACTAACCATTAACAGGCAAAGTATGCCTACCATAAAAAGTAAAGGTTTTTTTGTTTTTTCCTAATATATTTACTTAGAGCTCTATTCATTACTTTTAGATAAATGCATCTAAACATAGTGACTTTAAGTAAAAATAATTCATTTTGTGAGTTACTTTTCCACTTTGCAATTAGACATGATTGGCACTTAATGTGACCCTAGTAAAATTTGCACTTTCAGAATGTCCTCTAATCCACAGTCCTAACTCTTTGCAGATAGGCTGCAAACTGGATATAAATAAAATGCACCAAAAATAAACCAAAGATTCACACAGTGATAGCAAATGGAGGGAAAGTTCCATTTGCGCAGAAAAATTACACTTGGCCTGCTGACCTGGCTCACAGTTGGTTTATCAGGTGGCTGCTTGTGGATAACCATCTGGTAACGTTTATAGACCTGGAAGGACTCCAGCATTGTGGCTTTGAACTGAGAACTTGGTGGAGATGATCTCACCACCCTCACCTTCAGAAGGAGTTAAAAACAATTTTCATTAATACATTTATTTATTCCATGGAATATGCATTAATAGTTACTCCCACCCAAAAAGAACCAAAAGTATTAACACAAATATTAAAGCATAAACATATATTTTAATATTAAAAATCAATCAGTTAGTAAACAAAGTAACTTCTCAAAACGACACTCATTAAGAAGGCAGAGGATCCTGTCTAAATCCTAAGACTAGTTAGATCCTATGACCGAGTTATGTGAGCCAGCCTCTATCATAAAACGATAGAATACTTATGGCACTTGAGACGCAAACACAAATACATACTCTTTAATCTTAGTTGTGTGCAACCACCTTCAGTATCTCAGTCAGAAAGACTAATAATGTGAATATATATATTTTTGGACACTATTTCATGTGTTATTTCTAACACTAAACTTACGACTTTTTTTTTTTAATAAGTGTAGGACAATGAAGTGTTCCTATTTCATAGCATAATTAAGAATGAAAACTCTAAAGTCAGGATTTCCTTTACTCAAATCTTAATGTCATCATCTTGGTTGAGAATATACATTAATCTCTCTGTGTCTTAGATTACTCTTATATAAAATGAAAATGAGTTAAAAACCGAAATTGCACAGAGTAATGGCTAACATTTAACATTAATTATTTACTAACCAGTTAAAATGTGTTAGTAAAATGAAAAAGACAGAAAATCAAAGGGAATATAATAAAAACACAAAACTGGGAACTTTTCGTGTCTGCCCTGAGAAGTAACTCTTCCGTGAAGAAAGAGTGACACCCAGTGGACAACAAATCTCTATCCGTCCTGGGTATCGCTACGTCACAAAGCAAAAGCTACCTGCTGTAGAACTGTTACGGTGGGTATGCCTGGTGCCCTGAATACATTATTATTTATGATCAAAACACAAAAGACTCCTCATAAACTATTTTAAGTAGCATTAACTTTAACTGTGTCAAAGTTAATTTTTAGTATCAAGTCTGAAGTGATAAGTGATGTTCTTAAATGATATCAAGCTATCAATTTAAAGGCTGACCAGTTACTAATCAAGTAAGTATGAGAATATGATAAAATCATTATGGCTAATGTTTTAGAAAAGATATTTATAAATACCAAACAAATACTGAAAAATCTAGACTGAATCTGGAATGTAAATCAATTTGGGAAAAATAATAGGAATATTCTCAAAGTATTCATATGATGCCCAAATTGGTTTGGGGGAATTAATGAAAGTAGTTTACAGTAGTACAATTTACTATTGTTTAGTTAATTTCCACCTGATGGCTTGCGCATTTAATACTATCTGCTGCCCTGATCAAGATCAGAATATTAGAACAGAAAAAAACAGTGATTTGCCTAGTATGATCTTTTGCTATCTAAACCAAAACTGCCAAAAATGAAATTTAAATAATATTTTTTCTTTTTCACTTTTAACTACTAAATTTCAATCAAGGAATACCAAAAGCCAGAGTACTTTACACATAATAACATGCTAAAACTGCAATTGTTTTCACAACTTTCGTCAAACTGCCTACTTTTTTAATCTTAAAAAGAAGTTTCTCTCAAGTAGCAGTTGACTTAGTATGTACAAACGCTACTCCATCCCAACTCACTTTAATTTTTCATTATTTAAACGGCAACACATCAACGAATTAGTATACGCTCAAATGGAAATCTATAAGGTACCCAACAGAAAACAAAAAATAAGACAAACCCAAAATATATATATCCTTCAAAGTACCTCCAACTTGTGTGATGCATTCTCTGGTAAAGATTCAAAAATTAAATCTTCAAGTGACTTGGGCTGGTTGGATCTAGCCTTGGGTGGGAACAAAGACAGTGCTTCACCCCGACTCTGGAAGCCCTGGAGTTCTCCAGCTGGGTTCTGCTGCATGAGTTTTAACCTCTTCCTTTCTTTCCGGATTTCCTTTGCCTTTCGACATGGAGGCTTACTCAAATCTGCCCCTTTGCCTAAAAAAAAAAAATTTCAAAATATTAGACCAATCACATTTGGCTCTAGAAATGTTTTTTCAAAAGTCTCAAAGATTCTACAGAATAAGTCCAAAGAGTTAGCTGTGGGGCAGGCCAGGTTTCAGAGGATCCTGGTGTGGGGCTCTCAGTTGACCTTAAAATTCTATCTCCGAAACAGGAACTGCCCAAGGATGTAAACAAGCACAGAACTTTTCCGGCAGTTCTTGCTGTTGAAACTCTCTCTCCTTTTAAAAAATATTCACCTTTTTCTCTGCCTTTGTAAGCAGAAAGAACATCATCAAGTATCTTTTGTATCAGGACACTGCTGTCTCCAGCCCACATTTCTGAGGGACATGTTCCTAAAAGCACTGGTGACGCTGATATGTGCTTAGCTTCTGGTTGTAAACGAGTACCAACCCCAGGACATACTCTGGCAGATTTTATAATGGAAAAACATCCTTGCTTAGTTGAAAGTATTTGTGTCTCTCTCCACCTAAGTGAGGAGTCTCGTTAGTTAGCTCTAGTTAATCACAGTTCTGTTTTAACTAAAAGAGCAAATATCAAGGCCTTTTAAAATATTAAAATTTTAATATTATAAACCACACATTTTAGTGAGTACCCTTCAATCTAGTAAGTCATCCTCAAGAAATCTATCCTGAGTAAATTATAAGACATACAGGCAAATAACACAAATGAAAATCTGAAAATGATCTAAATGCCCAATTTTAGAGTAATTACACAATGTTTAAAATAACAACAGAATATCATATGCTCATTAAAAATGCTTTAGAAACTTTAGGGGATTTGTCATTACACAATGTTAAAAAATAATTCCAATTATGTATAAATATATACAGTAAAAATATTTAGAAAAAAACTTGGAAATATACCACATTAACAGTCAATTTACTTGAGTTTAGAAATAAAGAGGTTTCTTCTCTTTTTGTAGTCTTCTCTTTTCTCTAAATATTCTAACAACGAACATCAGTTTGTAATTTTTTAAAAGTTATGAAGGAAATTAAAAATATCCTACTTTTAAATTACATATTCTAATTACATAAAAGTCAGCGTAGAGAAGGTTTATAGGAATAGCAAGTTCAATTTTACAGAGAAGAAAAGTAAGACCTAGAGAGTCAAGGGACTTGCCTGAGACCAAAAACTAGTCAAAAGAAACTACTCTGGCGAGAAAACGAGTTCAGAAATACTGAGACCACATTACAACTTCGTGAACGTCTTCCACTTAAAAACACAGTTTACCCACAAAAAAGACTGAGAGTTAAGTGCAGCAACCAGGTAACAAAAAGCTGATTCTACCTGTTCCTCTGCTGCCTCCGAGAACCCATTTTCTTTGGCTAGGGACTGTGTCCTCTCTCAGATTTGTTCTGGGGCACAAAGGCATACAGGGTACGAGCAGGCACGCCACCCCAGACCGCGAGGTCAGCGGTCGACTGGCTGGAGGCCTTGGCAAGTCCCCTCATCCGTCCACATGAGAAAGATAACCAGTTTCACCCACGGCGCCCCTGGGAGGATTTAACGAGTTAAGGTATGTGCAGCTCGGTCTATGGCCATGCCACCCTGAACAAGCCTGATCCCATCTGATCTCGGAAGCTAAGCAGGGGCAGGCCTGGTTAGTACTTCGATGGGAGACCATCTAGGAAGACCAGGTGCTATAGGAGTAAAAAATAAAAATAAAAAAATAAGGGATTGTAAGCTGACAAGGTCCTTGCAATGTGTGAGGTCAACCAAGGGTTGCCTCGCCTAAAGGAAAAAAAATGGTATGAGCAGCTCATAAAACAGTACCTACCGTGCAACTAGGGCTACCTTCTACTATTAGCTATTATGTGTGTCACCAAGACCTAAAATAATGTTCTACCTACATAGGCATTCCATCACTGGTAATAAACAAAAAGGCCCTGCATTTCCTACAGTTACTCAAAATTACATTCCCTAGCAAAGTATTAAAATTATGAATTATGAAACTATCCAGAGTGAACTGTGAAACAAAACTTCAGTATTTTTAGGAAAAGACCACCTATGTCACCTTTACGCCAATTCATTCATTGGACGAAACGATCCTTATCACAACTGTTCTCTTCTACTTTTATGTACTATCATGTCACCCACTACAGTGGACAGCAAATGAGGACTTCTGCTTATTTAGATACGGATCTTCTCAGATCAATAAAGTCCTCCAGCTGGATGTAAGCAAATCAACAACATAAAATCAGTACATCACACAGACCCTGTATCCGGAGATTCAAACCACTCAAGAATCCTCCATTAGTCCCAACTGTTTGGAACAGAGGTCACTAGATCTGTATAGCTTCTAATTAAGTCCAAGGGAATACGCTTTTAATACTTTTAAAAATAAAATGGAAATGCAGGTTTCCAGAGAAAAATCTAAATTAGTGCTATGTGTTTTATAAAAAAAGTTTTCACATTCTCAGAGATATTGTAAAAAAACCACAAAAATTTAACATGTCAGTAATGACACAGCTGGAGGTGAGGCTGGTAGTCATTCTACGACTGCGTGCAACGCGGGATAAAGCAAATGGGTAGCTGTGATACTCTAATCTAATTCTACCACCCCCAAAGTCCCAGAGAACTAGGTTTCTCAACATGGAAGAAAGATGATACAAATGTGAGAGAAACTGACCAAACAAAAAGGTAAAAATACTGTAGTACTGAATTTAAATTGGAAGTATCAATATGACCTCAAGATCCCTTAAGTCTGTTCATTGAAAAGGCCTAGAAAACAAGGACCAAGCCAGTAGCAATGAGAGCTTCTAGACTAGTCTGCGATCTCCAAATACCATTTCCCACTAAAACCAACCAGGACTCCTTGGAGAAATGGCTGCACAAGACGATCCAGGAGCATCATGTCATACCCAATAGCAAAGATGCAGCCAAGACTGCCAAGACGGCACCAACAGGACTCAGAAGCCAACTGAGAGAAGCTCTCACGGGAGCAAAGAATTATAACACAGCCAATGTGTTTAGATCCATGAATTCACAATGACACCCCCTCAAAAATGACCTGGCCGCTGTAAGAGGATGTTACTTCGAAGAATGGAAAATCAAATAAAAGAATTTGTCCCGCCTCAAGCAAATGAGGACAGTTCTCTTTACAGAAGGATTCCACCCGTAAATGAAGAATGAATGATAGACTATCTAATGAATTTAATGCCTTGAGCATCCAAGGCTACTAACACTAACAAAAAGAGAGGAACCCAGACATTAAATGTCTCCCAAATAATTTGAATCCACTCGAGAAGTAACCTTACCCATCCCCAAATAAATAATTTGAACGCAAACCTGATTAAGGTTTACTCCCCTCCAAAAAGCAAAATAGCAATTAAATGCTGAACTCTGACCAAGGCTCTAGAGTAACCACCAATTCATGGGCGGGTGGGGAACATGCAAAGCCGCACTGCAGATGTTTCTGGTCAGACGCAGAGAGTAGAGCCAGCAACTGACAAGTTGCACAGTTTCTCTAACAAATAAACTGCAATAAAAACGCAGGAGCCGATGCAAGCAAATGTTTAAAAATTAGAGATTTAAACACTGAACATTCAGTGGCATTAAGAAATTTTATTTCGGTGTAACAATAGTATTATGGATATAATTTTTAAAGTTATCTTTTAGAGATACATTCTGAAACACAGGATGATACAACGTCTGGAATTCCCATCAACATAATGCCAGACAGGGGAACTAGTTAGGAGAATAGAAGAAACGAGCGTGGTCATCAGGAGTCGATTCTTGTTTCAAACAAGGGTAGGCTGCACGGAAGCTCATTATTATATTTAGTCTACATTTGTCTATTTGAAATTCTCCAAAATGGCTTTCTAAATTTGATACACCGTAAATAATTTTTATAATAAAAAAATTAAAAATAAAAGAACTGACCCTATTGCTTAAGACGCTAAAAGGTGAAAGAAATTATCTAAATCATTCAAAATATCTGATTGGACTATTCGTATTAGGATGAAGTCTCAGACCAACATCAATTTGAACGCCATGGAAGCCTTACATTAAAAAAAAAGGCAAACAGACAGCTTTCTGCTCTTTAACACATGTAACACATGACAACAGAACCTAAAACAGTCCTAAAATTTCTTCCTTGGATCATTTTGTATAAATAAAGAATTCAAAAACTGAAACATAATAACCATCCAAACTGACATTCTGTAAAATAATTTTTAAAATCATAAACACACGCATGCATGTGCACACACATACACATGTAATAAACTCACTTACCACTGAATAAAATTTTTAAACCTTATTCTTTTAGAAGTAAAAATATTTTTCCTTGGATCATTTTGTATAAATAAAGAATTCAAAAACTGAAACATAATAACCATCCAAACTGACATTCTGTAAAATAATTTTTAAAAGAATCATAAACACACACATGCATGCGCACACATATATACATGTAATAAACCCACTTACCACTGAATAAAATTTTTAAACTTTATTCTTTTAGAAGTAAAAATATTTAAAAAATCTTACCTTATTAAAGGTGAAGTTAACTATCAGAATCTGAACGTTTTTAAACTAAAATTAATTTTGACTATAAAAATGTTTAGCACATCTTTTCAATGACAAAAATTTGGTTCTCAAATCTCTTGGGCCCAAAGCTTTAAGAAGAAATGGAACTCTTTTAAAATATCTATATTTGGGGATAATAAGGCTATTATTTCAGGCTTTTTCAACATTGCAGTTTTAAAAAAGATGTAATTTGTCCATCTAAATCCAGAGAATAAGTTGTATAAAACAGGGATCCATTTTACAGATTTCATGAGTAATTCATTTTTTGTAGCTGATGAGAGGGCCCAGAGGTAACGTCACAAGCACAAAGAAAATCACTTATATGACTTGAATAACAAACTTTCACTACCTGGCTTAGGAACTGTAAGTACTCCAATTGAGTGTGATGGTTCACCAGAGCCCAACTTTGCTTCTATATTTTGTGACTGAATTAAGTCATGAGATTCTGCTTTCTTTGCGCTTTTTCCTTTCTTCCTCTCTTCACTCTTTAAGCTCTCTTTGAGGTCATCACTGAGCGTTTTAAGGTCACATTGTATATCCAACTTATTGATTAACGCAACGTCACCAGCAACAGCGTCCTCCATGGTAGGCTCCATAGGCTCATCTACAAATCAGAAAAAAATCAAAATCCATCAGCCAGACCATCTCACACAATTAAAATAAAGAAAAAAAATGCACCTTTAATACAATGTGACAGAAACTACTGTGTGTTCACCAGATCTATTCTCCTGTGTTCCAACGTGACACAGCTGCACTTCAGGCAGTGGCACCTAAGCAGGGGAATGTACTGCCAGGCCCTTCGCAAGTCCCATCCACACTCCTGCCCATGAAATATAACCACGATGAGATGTCCGATTCTGCCTCACTTGTTTTAAAGGAAATCTGTGACTCTGAACTTCCACCCTTTCCCCCTCCCCCCAACTGGCTGGATCAATAAAAACCAAAGCGACCTTGGAAATCACATGTTGAACAGAGTCCCAGAATGGCTGGGAGGGGAAGCAGAGCTGCGGGCCAACCCGGAACACCTGCAGTGGACAGCTGTGTGAGGAAAAAAACAGACCTCTATCATTGGTTTAGTCCCTGCACTTCAGTGTCTCTTTGTTAAAGCTGTTTGGCCTTTGCCGTAATGAGTATATCACTAGGAATTAAGTTGCAAACATAAATAATTAAGAAGACTATAACAGGTCAAATAAAGAACCAAACATAAAAGCTACATAAAAAGACAGACAACCACAAATTTACGAATGGACAGTATCCTCGAAGCTTAACTGAATATTAATTTTTGAAACTCAGAACATGATTCCAACCACTGAAAAAAAGTTTAAATTAACAAACCAACAAACTCTACTTAACCTTTAAGGTTATATACCAACAAAATGCTGATACTCCCGATGCTCCAACTGCCCCTGAGCCTCGATGACCCGGGCCTTCAGGCCTCCTTGTTGTCCCAGCTCTGCCAAGTCTGCTCCAAGTCGTCTTGAATCCTGGTCCGTTAAGGACAGTGCATGAGGGCACTGTCATGCTGGCTACTGTCTCTCTAGTGCTTAGAACAGGGACTGGGACATTGTGGCATTCAAAACACACATGGGGAAGGAAACAACAAGCTAAGACTAGGGTGGGAGGCTCCCAAGGTTAAGTACTGCCTACCGCAGAAGCGAGCTAAACCGAAGAACGGATGGCATTCCCAGTCTTATGCTCAGGTATTAGGCGCTGCCTATAAGCTTTTTAAAAAAGTAATAATACCGAAAAAACTGAAAATGCAAAGTATCTGTAACTAAAGCTAACTAAATGTTAGTAATTATCTTTTAGGAAATTCACTTACAATTCAAAATTTATCAGACGTGTAAGAAACTGAATCTCAAGCAATATTATTTACTAAAGTAAGCGTTAACTCTCAAACACAGAAAATCTGAACTTTACTCAGTAGTAAAAGTGATTGTGCAATCGTGTGTAAATTACATATAAGTATCTGTGTCCCCAGAGACTATACCACTTTCCGTTTACTTCTTAAGGATATTATTAGGATCAAGTAAGGTAATAGTTACCAAAGCACTGTGAAAACTAATATTTCAATAATCGCCAGGGCATCACATCTTTAAAACGATCCTTAATCTTCTCCCCAAGCTAGACCCTCCCTGGAATATGTTCCCCATATCCTTGATTTGGGGCCAACAAATCAAGGTGACAGCAGCCGCAGTTCTAACAGTAATCATCATCATAGTCATAGGGCCTGACTGTAGTAAGGACCCCTTCCCGCTACCTAACTTAAAAAATGACTGAAAGTGAGAACTTGGAAAGATACTTCATTTTAAAGTAGTTTTTAGACCTCCCCATCTCATCTTACCCTCACAATTTCCTCTGGAAATTTCTCCTTTAGCCAGAAATTTCAACATTTTTTTCAAAACCTTCTTGTGAGATTTTGATGGCTGGAACTGTAAAGGTCGGCACCTAGGAAAACAAAACAAATAATAAATGAACTCAAACTCTGAAGAAGTAAAATCGGCTACGGGTAGTATCCACTACAATGAAGCAAAGCTCATGCCTGGGATTTCTGGATAAAGACAGTTTAATGTAGCCTTTAACCCAACCCAAATCTTACAAAAACTAAAGTTGAGGGATTAAAAAAGAAAAGAAAAGAAAAAGACATAAACCACTAGAAAAAAGAAAGTGGGAGAAATGTTGGAAGCTGGAAAGCAGATGTACAAGTGGTAACTGACTCAGCCAAACAAAGTTGAATCCTAAACCAACAGTGAGAAAAGCCAAAGATATCCAATTTTCTCTATATTACCCCTAAAAGTCTGAGAGACTGGCAATACCTGACATCTGAGGAGATATGCAAGAAGGTGGGTCTAAAAATAAGAGGATTCCCTAAAAGTTTTGGAAGTAGATGTCAGACGGCCTCCCAACTCTGCATAGATGACACCCTATACAACCCAGCAGAAAACTGCATTTTTAGGAAGGAGTAAAAAATAGAGCCTCTCACATGAAGGATACAAGCACAGTTGAAAGCAAAATGGAACTGTACTGGAAACAGGAAGCTTAAATAAAAGCCTACATGCTGAACGTTGAGACCTCAAACCCACTTCCCCTACTTAGCCCCAGAATATTCACAGACACCTTCTCTCCGGAATGTAATCAGACCTAAAAATGCTGACATGAGAGATTCCCCAACAGAACAGTCCAGCCAGATCGCCCTACTCAAAAGCCACAGTAAGCAAGACCCGCCCGAGTACACAGAATCTCCAATGGGACACTGGAAAGTTAGAATCACCAAGCACTTGAGGAGGGCCTATTACAGGAACAGGTGCCAAAAAAAAACCTGAAATAACTTGGAGGATGGATAAAGAGTATGCAGGAAGAAGAGAACCTAAAAAAAATAGTCATAAAAATATCCTGAGAGCACTCTTATTTCTCTTGAGCTATTACAGCCATATAATAGTATGTGACAAAAAAGGAAAAGGGAAAACAGTCTAAGCACAGAAACCTTCAGAAGCAAAAATAGAAGAAATAAAAAATTAAATAGATGACTTAGAAAATAAAGTTGAGGAAATCACCCAAAAGAGTCAGCAAAAAGAGATGAAAAACTGAGAAGAACCAGAGGACCAGACTAAAAGGTCCAATATCTGAATAAAAACATAGTAGAAGTAAAAACATAGATGGGAAAAGATTTACAAAATAATACAAAAAAAAAATTTCTGAACTGAAGGATACGATGGGAGGAGCTCATAGATAAGAAGGGCCCCTCAAGTCTATATGCAATGAATGAAAACAGATACCCCACCAAACATACTGTGAAATATCAGAATACTAAAGACAAAAAAAAAATTCCAAAGAGAAAACGCTTTTGGATGACAGAACTAAAATCAGAATATCACTGGACTTCTCAACAGCAACAGGACAACAATAGAGCAAAGCCTTCAAAATCCTATACGAAAATTATTTCCAATCTACACTTCTATACTCAGGCAAACAAACTATAAGTTTGAGTAGTGAATTAAAACGTTTTCAGACATACAAAGTCTCGAAGTTTACCTCTCACGCACTTTTTCTCAGGAAGCTATTAGAAGCTGTGCTTCACTAAAAGGAAGGAATAATCCAAGAAAAAGGCAGAGAAGACAGGAGACGGATCCGACCCAAGAGCCAAAGAGAATCCCCAAGATGACAGTAAAGAGATCCTAGGATGGCAGTGATGTGTCAGGTGTAGAGACAACCTGTCCAGATCAGAGATGGTCAGAAAATTCCACAAAAGCAGCAGCTAAACATACCGAGGAAATCTACACAACTGGAGGACGTTCCTAAATAAATTGGAGATCGGTACATCAAAGATATGCAAATGCAAAGATAATTATCAACTCCAGAGAAAGCAGAAAAGAAAAAGTAATCACAGTATACTATATGGCTTAGCTGTGAAGCACATTCACACAGTCACAATATGATGACATTCATCCAAAATTACAATATTTCTAAGATGGAAAGTTGAGGATGAGGACAAAAAGGAGCGTGAATGTGACAGGGGAATAGGAATAAAATAAAAGTAAATCCTTATCTTTCGAAGAGAGAAGCCCAGAGATAATGGTCCAGGAAAAAAAAATCAAGTAATATAATCATATAAGCATATTAGAGAGTAAAGCCAAAAAAAATCAGCTAAAAGATCTGAAAGTGACTGCACTGGGAAATAGAAAATGTACAGGGATTCAGGGGATTGCTATTTTGCAAAACAAGCTTTATGGGACTATTTGATTCCTTAAATTATTAGCACATAAAAATTAAAATTTCTGATAAAAATTAAAATTTTTAAAAAATGCATACCTAGGAAGTTCATCCTCATTTACACTAACATACTGGGCAGCCCCTAATGCATGCCTAACAAGAAGCCAGACTGTAGGCTGCGACCACTGTGTCTTTACTTTAGGTCTCATTATAACTACTGCAGTAAACAAGGTAAAATAACCAAGAGAGTTAACTATGCAAAATGAGCCCATAAGATCGATATATAAATAACGAAATTGTATAGAGAATAATAACTCAGAAAATGTTTGATTTCCATGCAAAATTATAAAATGCAAAAATATCATTTTATAATTACTTTGTTTTGCAATGTTAACTGAATCCCTTTTCATAAAAACAATTCGCCTGAAACTGTGCTTTGCAGGTGATGACATATTTACAATAAATTCCATATGCTTTATTTTTTTCTTTAACTCACGGCAAATGGACTTTTCTGGTTAGAGATTCTCAGGGTTCGCCCAATCAACTTCAGACTTATTTGGACAAAATCATGGCCACCATGCAAAAATAAACTGCTATCTGTAAGAAAATGACCTCTGCCTTTGAAGACATCACTGCTTCATAACCAACAAAGCTCAAAGAGGACAGCACAGCTACTCTGTCATTGTGTTCTTTACACAATGAATGAGATGGTGGCAGCAAACCAGACATCCATCTCTTCTCTTTATTGTCCCAGTTCTATCACGTTAGGTAAGAGAACGGATTCTTAACCAGGAAATCAGTGGAACTTTGGGAGTCTGGGATCATTTCAAAATTAGTACGTAAAGTGTTACATATTTTTGTCTCTGTGCCCCCTCCCTTGTTCAGTTTTGTTACTTTCATCAAATCCTCAAAATAGTCTGCAACCCAAAAACAAATTAAGATCAGCTAAGAGAGATAGTTGTGAGGACCAGCCAAAAAATGATGGATACAACCATGTTTGCTTTTTTTATTTAGAGCAGTGGTCCCCAATCTTTCTGGCACCAGGGACCGGTGCTCCTATGAGGCTCTAATGCCTGATGACCTGAGGTGGAGCTGAGGCGGTGATGCTAGCACTGGGGAGCAGCTGCAAATACAGATGAAGTTTCTCTCTCTTGCCTACCGCTCACCTCCTGCTGTGCGGCCTGGTTCCTAAACAGGCCACGGACCAGTACCGGTCTGTGACCCAGGGGTCAGGGACCCCTGATTTAGAGTATATATACACACTGAAACTGAAGACAAGTGCTTCATAACATCATTATACTTTACCTATTTTCTCCTAGAAGAAGGGGAAGGAGAGAGGAGGAGGAAGGCCTTTCTAACCAAAGAAGGGAAAATCCTTCCGTGTTAGGGTGGGGTGAAGGGGGCAGGGGCAAACCCAAAAGATTATGAAAAATTAATCAAACGCTTTGTAGGAAAAGACTTTTTAATTTAAATTTTCAAATGAAGAAAACTACTCTGAATATACATGTCAGATTACATCTTGGCCCTCCTCTTCCTCTTTCTACAGCAGGGTCTCTAACCCTGGGCTGCGGACTGGGTACCTGGACTGGGTACCTGTACCTGGCCTGTTAGGGACTGCGCCTCACAGCAGGAGGAGAACAGCAAGTGAGCGAAGCTTCATCAGTACCTGCAGCCACTCCTCAGCGCTAGCATCACCACTTCGGCTCCAACTCAGATCACCAGGCGTTCGATTCTCATAGGAGCACCCGTCCCTGGTGCCAAAAGGCTGGGGACTGCTGTTCTACAGGATGCTATAGCATTCATTATTTGAATCTAAGTACTGTGCCAAGTAACAAGATAGAACATGGAAAGCCCAAAGCTAAAACCTATAAAAATTTGATATTTAAAAGTAATGTATTTCCCAATATTTCCCCAATATTTGATGGTATCACTGACTAGATTGCCAAATAAAGGTATTTTTTTAATATCATATTCATATATGGCCAATTAAACATTACTAAAAGCTACTGATTGGCATGTGAATATAACATCAGTATGGAAAAAACATAATTCATTTGCTTTTCCTTATAAAGAATGTCTATGAATGAAAATGAACATTTAAAAAAGCAAGATTCCACTAAAAAATTATATACAATCTTCATATTATAGACCTTCTATGCAGATTCTTACCTTATTGTGTACTGAGGACAACACGTTTGATTCATGACAGGTTTGTACACATATTTCCCGCTTCTAAAATTATAAAATAAGTTTGTTAATTTCTTACTCATTTCTCATATGCACCAAAGTAGATGAGAATAGCAGCACAAACTTAACTAGGGTAAAAATCCAATCGATAGTTTAAAAACACATTTAGATTTACTCTTCCTAAGCCCCGAATTCATATGTTGAAGCCCTAACTGCCAGCACCTCAAAATGTGACTTTATTTGGAGATAAGGCCTTGAAAGAGGTGCTTGAGTTAAAATGAAGCTGTTAGGATGAGCCCTAATCCAATCTGTCTGGTGTCCTTACAAGAAAATTGGACAAAGAGACACGAGGCACCGGGGATGTACCCACAAAGAGAAAGGACTACGGGAGGACACAGCAAGAAGGCAGCCACATGCAAGCCCAAGAGTGAGGCCTCAGAATAAACCAAAGCTGTGGAAACCTTGATTTTGGACTTCCAGTCTCCAGGACTATGAGAAAACGAACTTTTGCTGTTTAGGCTGTCCTATCTGTGGTATTTTGTTAGGGCAGCCCCAACGATCACACACAAGTTCAGTTCCCAAGCCAGGAACCTGGAGGTCATCTTAGACTCCTTCCACTAATGCACCTCTATCCTCTGTCACTAAGCTTTCCACCTCTAAAACGTATCTTAAATCTGTCCCCTCCTATCTATCGCCTCGCTACTGACAAAGACAGGTCCTCACCATCTCACATCCCTGCAATGGGTCTTCTTGCCTCCAGGATCACCTCCTCAAACACCTCTCTGCTACGTAAACGGTCATTTCCAAAACACGAATTTCATCACATTCCTCTGCCGTAAAAGCCTTCAGCGGTTCCCCGCTACTTTTAACAAGGCTCCTTACTATGGCACATGAAGTCCTTCAACATCTGACCTATATCTGCTTTTTGGGACTCATTACTAAGTTTAAATAAAGTTGTGAAGCTTCATTTGCCTGTGCTCAATCCTACATCTCCTGGGGACTACTGGCACAGGGCACTTAACACTGCTTGCATTCACATAAGAAACTTCACCTAATAATTCCTTTAAAATCATCTATATAAAAGTAACTATCAAAAAACTTAGTCGTCAAAGGCAATGTGTGGACTTTAATGGAATCCAGATTCACATAAACCAATTATTAAATAAAAAAGACATTTTGAGACAAGCAGAAAATCTAATCAAAAGTAGGTAACAGGTGACATTAAAGAATTATTAATTTTGTTAAGTATAAAAATGGCATTGTGGATGTTATAAAGGAAAAAAGAATCCTTGTCTCTTAGAAACATACTTATTACAGGTATATTGACATGATACCTGAAATTTGCTTTAAATTACTTAATGGGGAGAGAAGTGGGAGAGTATCTTAGCTCATTTGGGCTGTTATCACCAAATGCCATAGACTGAGTGGCTTCTAAATAACAGAAATTTATTCCCCATAGTCTTGGAGGCTAGATGTCCAAGATCAAGGCACCAGCCGCCATGGAGTCTCGTGAAGACAAGCTTCCTGACTGCTCTTTTCATTGTGTCCTCACATGGCAGAAGGGCAAAGGAGCTCTCTGCAGACTCTTTTATAAGGGCACTAATCCCATTCATGAGGGATCTATCTATGTCACCTAATCACCTCCCAAAGGCTCCACCTCCAGATACCATCATAATGGGAGTTAGGACTGAACGTATGAACTTGGGTGGAACGCTAACGTTCAGTCCATTGCAGGAAGCAAGGAGAACTGATGAAATGAGATTGGCAAAATGTTCGCTGTTGATGCTTGGTGACAGGTACAGGGGGTTCATTAAAATACACTCTCTACGTTTGTATATATTTGACGTTTTCCCAAAAAAACAGCTTCAAAAAGAAAACAAAATCACTACACAAAAGAATTAAAAATTTTTCTTAAATCTCTTTCCAACAACGGGAAAACATTTTAGAGGCAAACGATATTCTTTTCAATTCTAAGAACCTGAGTGACAAGAGCAGCATCTTTGTAGTAAGGAGCTTTACCTCCGCCAGCCTCGGTCTATAAGATCCTGATAATCCTGTACGGTCATGGTATGTGCCCACATGCCTGAAAAAATAAGGAACGTGTTAGCTACAGCAAGCTGAACTTCTTACTTTTTTTAATTCAAAGCATTATTTTAATGTGAATATAGAAGCAAAAAAATCTAGCTTATACTGGAGAAATGAAAGTCTGTACATACTTCATACTTGTTAGTTTGACATAATACATACCATAAATAAAAATTATGATGTATTTATCTTAATTTTTAAAAAGCAAACACGTCACTGATTGCATTTAATTCAGGACTGGTCAACAGTCTCTATGACATCATAAATTTAGATCCTCACTGCAATCAGATTACATCACACCTTTAAACCATAGTATCTCCAATAATTTAAGAAGCTGGTCTCTTCAGAAGAATTAGAAAGCTAATGTTTTCTTGTGCACATAAATTCTCCTGATTTTTATACGTTTTACATATATACAGAGAATAGTCTTGATCTTTAAAAATAGGACGAATGTGCACAGCAATATTCCTCTGAAGTAAAACAGAGTAACCCAGGTTCTACGTTATCATTATGATGAAATTACAGAGCCATAAAAAAATGAAGACTACGAAAAAACATTAAAAGGAATACCTGAATTAATGTTAAAAGAAAAATGAATTTTTTTCTTGTAAATAGTAAACTGCATCAGAGGTAAAGACAGCGGCAGGCTCCATAGAGCAGGATGGAGCAGGATGCAGTGAGAAAAGCTTGGGCACTGGAGAACAACAGAAATGTCCAGAAGCCTGGGGGTGGGGTGGGGCTCATTAAGGCCAACAAGTTACTCTACCAGGCTCAATTTCATCATCTGTAAACAAGGAATAATAAAACCTACCTATCCAATAGGTGGGGTGCCCTCTTGTAAAGATTATTATTAGCATTAAATTAAGATGATAAAAATTTACAGTTATCTCTATAGGTGAAAAGGTTGAAAGCAGGTTTCTTCCAAAGAACTTTAGACACAGGACATCTATATTAATCAATTTTCTCTTACTAAAACTAATGGAAAAATAAGAATCTATTAATTTTAGACATATTTAATATAACTTATTATATATATATTATAATCACAACACTAAAATTCTGAAAAGGAGATGGGAGGAATCTATAATACCCTAAGGCCTACTACCAGTCACAGTTTACTGTGCTTCTCCTGAGTTTTTTTGCTCCCAGGGTTGGAATCATGGTCATTTGTTCACCGTTTAACCAACCCTACACTCTATACATTTTTCCACTTAGCTCATCTTCATATTCTTCACTCCTAATGACTGCATTACATTCTACTCCTTCTCACCCACAAGAAGCACCTAATAAACACTTTTAATTAATGAGTAAATACACACACTATAATAAGAGCCCAAAGCATGCCCCAGTGGGGCATTTATGTTTTTAAAATGGGAACTATCTAAATTTACATCTTTGAAGATATTTCACTTTTCACAATGCTGGATTATTCTTTAAAATATGAGATTCTACATTTGCCAATGTTTATAAATAAATGAAATAAACAATGTTTTGTTTACAAACAACAAATCTTCTGAAAGAAACCTGAACCATGATGGAGGGGAAAAAAAACAAACTGTAGGCTGGCCTTATCGTCGTCATTGAGATCGGTGGAGGAATGACATGGCATATAAACATCTGGTAAAAATTTCAAAACCAGCACAAACAAGCCCCCTCCCTCATCAGTAGCGACTACGGTCACCAGTTTCTTGTATATGCTTCCAGAGACACTGTATTCATGGATGCCCATGCACGTGTGCACACACACCGTTTTCTACACGAATGACACCACCTGACATTCACTGTCCTGCGCCTTGCGTTTTGCACTTACTATGGAGATGCTCCCACATCCCCATCAGCACGTAAAGGTCTGCCTGCCCCAGCCCTAACTGCCTACACTACAGTGCTCCCTGGCACAGCATGCTATCATCTATTTACCCGTCTCCTGCTGGTGATGGACATCTGTTTCCACACTTTGAGGTACCGAGAGACAATCGCATGTCCGAGCACCTGTACGAATAAACACCTAAAAACTTCCCTGCTGAATCAGCTGAGGTCCGTTTTAAATTAACAGCCGCGGCCCTCCCGGGGCAGCTGCGTTCCGCACTCCCTCCAAGAGACAGAGGCCGGGCGGGGACTCCAGCCGCCGTGGGTCCCTCGAGCCGACCGGCCCGAGTGGGGCAGCCACGACCCCCGAAGACGCCCGCCAGCCGCGGAGCCCCCAAGATCGCAACGCCCTCCTCCGCGGGCCAGCTCACCATTGGAGCGACTTCCCGACTCGTTCTTGCAATAACCACAGCGGTAAAAGTCCTCGCCCTGGAAATACTCCACGATGCTGGACGAAAGAGCGGCCCAGGAAGCCATGGCCCCGGCCCTCCAAACGCGACGCAGCCCAGCTTAGTGCCGCCGCCACCCCACAATGCACCGCGCCGCCCAAAGGCGCACGCGAAGCCGCACGGGCGCCGGCGGCTCGGGCCTCGCCGCAGCCCCTCGGCGCTGACGCCGCCCGCGCCATCTTGGCCCAGGGCAGCTTTCCGCTATTTACGTTCGTTCTTGGGAGAGGGAACGCCATATTCGGTGAGGATGAGACGGGGTGTGAAAGGAATCGGTCTGGGAAGAAACGAGTGGGAAGGGGAAGCGGGAGTAAGGGGAGCCGAGCCTGTGGGCTCCCCTGCGAGGGGTTGGCCGGGGCGCGGCGGGCGGTGCGGGGCGTGGACGCGAGGCGGCCGCGCCCAGCCCCGTGGAAGGAGACACTCACCGCAAGACACCTTGCCCTCCTCGGATTCGCAGTAGCCGCAGTGGTAGCCGGCCTTGAGGCCTTTGTACTCCACCACCGAGGCCATGGCCGCCGCCAGGGACGCGCAGGCCGGCCACGCCTCTCGGCGGCCCGGGGCCGACCTGGGAAGAGCGCGGGGGCCCGCCGCGGGGAGGATTGGGGAGCGAGGGCCGACTGGTGCTCCCCGGTTCCCCGGTCTGGCCCCCGGACCGGCGCCTCGGGTCCCGTCGGTGTTGGGGCCGTCCCGAACGTTAGCAGGGACGTTAGCGTGGGTGGCAGTTATGAAAGCGGGTCCCTTCGCCTACTCCATCGCCGATCCTTCCCACCACTTCGCGTTGTCGGCCGCCTTTTGCAGATAAGGAAACTGAAGCACGGAGGTTGTAATCGCTGTTTTTTCCCGTAGGTTTCAGTTTAAGTTACCATCTCAGGCTGTCGCTCACCACCCTGTAGACCGCTCAAGCTTCTTCCAAACCAGCAAGCACTCACTTAAGTACACATACAGACATCCAGTGAATGGCTCGGGTAGTTGAACGCTTACCGCTTTTAAAGGAAACTGTCAGACTTTTTTTGAATAGTTTCCTCACGGTCTTACTGATTTGTGATCAGACTTGATATTTTGTCAATCTGGTAAGTGGAAAAGTTTTCTAAGGATGTATCTCCGATATGAGTTGAAAATTATTTTTCTTTTTTTTTCAGTTCTTTTTTTTTACTTATAATTTTTATTGCCAAAAATATTAAAATTTTTGTATAATTGGAAAATAAAGGAAACTGTCAGAGCCAGCATTGTAAGCCCAGTGCCACCATGACTTACGGCTTTTAGAGAGAAACTAGAAATCAGATTTTTTTAAGTACAATTTTTTAAATTGCCTACAGCACCTGGTATTCCTAGGTGCTCTCCCATCCAAGTACTAACCAGGCCCAACCCTGCTTAGCTTCTGAGATCAGACGGGATCAGTCACGGTCAGGGTGACATGGCCATACACTAAAGTACAATTTTTAAATATTGCTTTAAAATAATTGGTTTTTTTTTAACTGTGCAGGACAAACAAAACATATAGGCTGAATTCAGCCCATGAGTCTCCAACCTGCAACCACTATTTTAAAGAGGATTTCCTAAAGAGTAACAGTCCGAGGCAAAGTATAAAAATGAGTACCTCCGGCAAGGTAATGCCTTGATCTTTACCTCATGTGTGCAGATAGACTGTCCTTATATTTTTCCCAGTCAACAATAAAGCTAATTATCTTTTTGCAATACTTTAAAAAAAGTGAAATAGTGAAACTTGAGGAAACGTAAATTTTGAGGTCAGTTTCAACATAGTTGACCCCAAGGTCCACTGTGCTGGATATGGGCCTAGTTAAATTGAACTGATTTAGTAGTGGCAGACTGACCTATTTGCTAAGCATCACTTGCGCCTTACATAATGAAAAAAAAACCCTAAGGGATAGCTACAGAGCATGCAGCAGCTTTTCAGGGTCCCTCTGAGCTTCTCTAGCTCCAACTCGAATGCTTTACTAGATCTCAGTATCATGTTCTTAAGACGGATTTCACCCATTTTGTTCATTATGACAAATTTGATTATTCCTTGTCCTTCCTGGGATAGGCTCTCATTTCAAATGAAAGTGAGGGCTTTTTAAATAAAACAGCAGAATGCCACGCTCAGTACAAAAGTAGGAGGCCAGGAGACTTTTCAGTCTTATAGTCTTGTCCCTCTTCACTTCTCTTCCTTTGAAGACCCAACTTTATCCCAGGCCCTACACCAACCTTAGCCAGAGCACTCCAGGACATACCAGCCTTGAACAATGAGAATGTCCAAAGTCCTAAGCATATGTTTTAAAACTCATTTAATCCTTACAGCAACTTCACAACATAGAAAACAAAGACCAAGGAGGCTAAATAACTTGCCCAAGGTCATATAACTAGTTAAAAACATAGGGGAGAAAGGGTGATAGAAATAAAAAATACTAAAGAGGAGAAGAGAGGACTTTTGTAGGACTGTGTAGGACATAACAATAATACCAATTAAAAGACTGTCAAACAGGATTAAAAAAAAATAAGACCCAATTACATGTTATCTACCAAAAAAAATTCACTTTAAATATAAAAACATTAGATTAAAAGTAAAGGGATAGAGAAAGATGTATTGTTAACACTAATCAAAAGAAAGCTGGAGTAAACTACATTAATTTCAGACAAAGTAAACTTGAGAGCAAAGAAAATTAGGGAAAAAAAGCCATTGCATCATGATAAAGGTGTCAATTCTCCCAGAAGATATGTCTTTTTTGTGTATGCACCAAGCACAGTAGCAAAACATGTGAGGCAAAAACATTCGGCAGGCATTAAGTCAGGACATAATTGAACTCAACAATACCATCAATCAGCTCGATCTGATATCTACAGAACACTTCCTCCAACAGCAGCAGAATACACATTCTCTAGTTCAAGTGGAACATTCACCAAAATAAACCATATTCCAGGTCATAAAAAAACACCTTAACAAATTTAAGAGAATAAGTATGCTCTCAGACCATAATGGAATAAAACTAGAAATCAATAATAGAAAAGTAGCTGAAGAATTCCAAAACAACACACTTCTAAATGACACGTGGGTCAAAGAAGTTTCAAGAGAAATTTAGAAATATTTGAACTAAACATGAAAATACAACTTCTCAAAGTGTGAAATGCAGCAAAAGAAGTATATAGAGGGAAATTTATAGCACCGAATGCATGCATTAGAAACAAGATCTCAAATTGATAATATAAGTTACCTCAAGACTAGAAAAAGAAGAGCAAATTAAATGCAAAATAAGCAGAAAGAAGAAATAACAGAAATTAAAGCAAAAATAAATGAAATCGAATACAGAAAATCAATAGGGAAAGTCAACAAAACCAAAAGCTGGTTCTTAGAAAAGATCAATAAAATTGATAAAACTGTAGTGAAAACTAAACAATTGCCAATATCAGAAATGAAGGACCATCACTACTGATCCCATGGACATTAAAAGGATAATAAAGGAATAAAATGAACACCTGTATACCCATATATATGATAACCTAGAAGAAACTGATCAATTCTTTGAAAGACACAATCTACCAAAACTCAGAAGAAGAAAGAAAGAATCTGAATAGGCCTTTATCTAAAGAAATAGAGTCAATAATTAATGGCCTATGAAAACAGCACCAGGGCCGGATATGTTCACCGGTGAATTCTACCAAACATTTAAGGAAGAAATTACATCAACTCTTCTATAGTCTCTTCCAGAAAATAGAAGCAAAGGGAAACTTTTAACTCATTTTATGACGCCAGCATTACCGTAATACCAAAACCGAAGACATTATAAGAAAGAAAAACTACAGAACGTTACCTCATGAACATAGATGCAAAAATCCTCAATAAAATGTATTAGTAAATGGAACCCAACAATACAAGGAATTATACACCACTGCCAAGTAGGACTTATTCCACGTAAGCAACCCTGGTTCAACATTGCAAAAGCAATTAATATAATCAAAATTCCTCTATCTAATCAAGATTCAGTCCGCTTTGTCAGCTGTGACTTCGAATACATAGCTTAACTCCCTTAGCTGCCATTTCCTCATATGAAAAATGGGGAGAATGTTACCACATAGGGCGGTTGGAATGTCAGCTTTTTATGTTTAGATACTATCAGAGGCACTCTTATTTTTCAAGTTTGTGTTCAAACTCCTGCAAGATGGAGACAGCAGGCAAGGTGCTATTTCCATTGCTAAAAGTTAATCTGTGATTATCTGTGAAGTTTATTTCAAGTTCAGTGACATGAGAAATGGTTAACAATAATTTTAGTTCAGAAACCACCATCATCTTCCCTAGCTAGGACTTCTGATGACTATTTAAACATTTCATGATTTTTCACAAAGGATTAAAATTTAGCCATTTAATAAAATATTGTTAGCAGTCTTTTTCTTTTTACATTTATCATAGAAAAAAAACTCAGGCCATCTTTTGCTTATGTTAGGGAAAAGTCTAGTCTTGCTCAGTTTGTTTCAACCTGATTTGCTATCAAAAATGTTCTTTATCTCCCTGGTTTATATTCTTTATCCCCCCAGTTTTTCTGAGGAAAGAGAAACAATTTACAACATAGTACTTAAAAGTACTTTTACGTCTATGTGATTCTCTTTATATGTTTTAATTAAGCTGATTCCTTCAAGAGAGGCTCACATTAAGAACTGCCTATTTTTCTTTATCAAAAAAAGAGGCTTCTATTGTTTTCATGGGAGGATAACAAGATACCGTCTTTTAGCACGTCACACGGTGCCCGGCTCATAGCGAATACAGGCAAACCTTGGAGACATGGTGGGTTAGGTTCCAGACCACCACAATAAAGCAAATTGTAATCTTGTTAGGAGAGGGTCTTTGAATTTCTGAGAAAAGGCAACGTCTGTGTAAGTGCAACGGAACAAGTTATGCCTGTATTAGGAACTTGTAGTATGATGCTGTCATGTCTCAGTTACATAACGATTTGGGCTGAACTGATATCACATGAGTGACATCTGAGTGGCATGACTTTACCAGTGTTAAAATGGTATCTAGGAAGCAAATGAAGATTAAAATGTAAATTGAAATTTAATTGAGTGTTTGGCAAGAAATAGAAAACATTGTCATGACTTGGTGTTTGGAATTCTTTGATTTTTTTTTTAAGCATAAAATATTTCTGAAAATGAAATAAAACATTTGGGGGGCTACAGTTTCAAGAAGTCATACAAATAGCATATATTTTGGAAGGGACAGGTTTTATTCCTAATAAGAAGGCAAGTTGTGATTAATCACTCTATTTTCAAGAACTAGAGACATCTTAATAGGGTACACGAAGACTCTGGACAGATGAAGTTTCCATCATGGCGAAGAGCATCTTGAAGTGAATATGCGGAATTGTTGTCGTTAATTTGTACTTCAACACTGCTTGTCTTTAATGACCAGTTATGAACGAAATTAAATAATGCGACAAGTATATTAAATGGTGTTAAAGCACAAAACCTTCGCAGCAGCAACAGCATTGAGCTGAGTGACACGCCAGCTAAGTGAAGACGAGACCACGTGACTGGGCCTTCAGCATGCTTGTCAGACCTCCACCAACTACTGGGTGTGTGCAGGACCCACTCCAAGGTTTTCCACTGATTCCGATAGGCAATATATATTTTAAAAAAAGGAACAGACGCTTCTGTTGCCTTGAAAGATGCTTTCTCCAACTGCACTGAGATGAGATGCCTGTGTCTGTACATCACAACCCCTCTACCTTGTCTCTGGCCATTCAGTCCAGCTCACAATGAAGTTCCCTGACAACCAGATGATGTCCACCTACCGCCTCACAGTAGTCTCAATCTAGGATAGTGATGACACAAAAAGCTTGTGACTGCTACTGGTTGCCCTAGGAAGCAGTCCAAGGAAGGCATCCTGAAGGATCAATAGTAGCTAGCTGAAAGTGTGAAAGAGGGCCAGAGACTTTGTTGGGTGGAAAACAGTATTTTGCAGAAGAGAGAACAAGAGATTAGAGTGGGGAGAACAGCTCAGGAGAGCAGACACAGAGGAAGAGTTTTGAAGAGCGTGAAGAGCAACAATGTTCTTCCTGAAGTTGGAGTTTGATAAGGCAATGGCTGAAAAAAATGACACAAAAGAGAAACAGTATGAGGCCACAAGAACAGTGGAAGTGACCAAAGGCACCGCGGGGCGAGGATGCAGTGGGGGTCTACGGAAGGACCGACCAGCAGTGCAGACCCCACCTGCACACCCTCCCTTGGTGACAGACTCAGAATGGTTGGCTCTGAGTCCGGAAGAACAGTAGGTATTACTTTCCTCCCATTTGAAGTAAAGGCAGAATATTCATCTATCTAGGAACAGATGTAGCACAGGAATGAAAATTATGTGCTCCTGAGTCACGCAGGCACAAATTCTGTTTCTGAAACTAACCACAGGACCTTTGGCAACTTGGCCTCAGCCTACTCTGCCATGATTTGGGGGATGATGAGTACCTACCCCATAGATTGTTTGGAAGATTAAGTTCTTAGCACAATGCCTAGTGTAAATGTTGCTATGGAAATACAAGAACCTCCTAGGAAAAAAAATATGAAAGCAGATATATGTCTTCTTAAGAAATTAGCTTTATTTAAAAGGCAAATTAATTTTTAGTTTTTTCTAGTTTTATGTTATAAAATCCTTCTCTTTTCACTGTTAAGTCAGAGAAACAATATTTATAAACCAGATTGTTAAACATAGAACCTGTCTGCTTACTAAGCAGGTAAATAACAGGTCTTGAGTATGCCTAAAATGTGACTCTGCTCTGTCTTAAATGACAATTCTCTTCATTAAGTTAAAAAAAACTTTCTTGCTATCAAATTTTTATTATCAAAGTAAACCTTTGATAAGAATCATGAAATGTTATAGTTGGATAGCTGTTGTAAATTAATGATAGCTTATAAATTTATTGTCAATAACTTTATGCATAACCACTTAAAATGGACTGACTTTGAGAACTTATTTTCCCATCAAAGGTAAGTTCTTTGTTCCACCAACGATCATACACAGACAGTGCTGTGTGGAATTTGAAATAGCAACTCAGCCTCCCCTCTCCAGGGTTAAAATAAAGGTACTTCTGACAATCCCAACCTCAAACAATGTGGCTTTTTGCTTATGCTTTTATTAGAGAGCATTCCTTTCTTGCTTCAAGGAAAAATACAAGAAATTAAACGTATTGCAGAGTCCTTCCTATTGACAGAGAAATGCCTTTCGCATCATATATATAAGGAAAGTCAGTCCCAAATCAACTCCCTAATACAATTCATGCCAGAGCATGTTCCCTGAAACCCTTCTACGAATCCTAGTATCATTTCTCTTTTTGTTCTTCTAGATTGGCCTGGGCCCAAAACACTCAAGACCCTCGGATTGCAGTAGGTTCCCAGTCCCCACTAGAAAAGAAGATTAAGGTGAGGAAATACATTTACCGTGAACTTTGGAGCCGGTAGCACAATCATGAAGGGTTTATCACCAGCGTTTCTAAGGAGAGAGCTCTGCCTTTATGGTCTAGTTCAGCGTTTGGTTCACCTCGCAGCGTGGTGCCGGCGGGGTAGCACTGAGCACAGCGTGGACGTTAAACAGACTGTTACCACAGATCGTGCTAAGTGGCATGAAAGGGTGGGATTTTATTTGAATGAGTATGTGAAAGGTCTGAGGAAGTGACATTAAAGCTGAAACCTAGAAGCTACATACATAAGTACCACAGTCAGAGCTACTATAGTGTATGTTTCTGGAGGAAGAGCATGTGAAAATAAATGGGAAAGAGAATATGGTTTTTGAGGAACAGAAAAGTCAGTGTGAGTGCAGCAGCGTGAGCAAGCAGTCGGGCTGACAAGACCGTTTGGAGAGGCATCAGCTACCAGGTCGTTGTGCCATACTGGGATCTGGGATTTTCTAAAAGCAACAGGACCCCATCGCAGGCTTCTCTGCAGGAAAGTGATGGGCTCAGATTTATGTAATTCACAGAGCATTCTGGCTCCCGTGTGACTGGTCTGAGGGGGCCGAGGGCAGAAGGAAAGGAGTATGGATTCAGGGCAGCCAGCGAGGCTGCTCCCCTAAAGTGTGGGCATTTTGAAGTTAGAAATGACAGGACTGAGAAGGGGGAAATTGAAGAGAGCGCTTCAGAGGAAGAGTCAGGAGACGTCAAGGACAGTACCTCGGTCTGAAGCCGACAGGCGAGCCCAGCGCAGGCCTCATGCCTTGACTGTCTTGCTCGCCCCTTATTCCCACTCTCTGGAGCAGCGCCTGACTCGTGGAAGGTCACCTGGTTGAATGACTGAGGCTGTCTGTGTCCAAGGAGGCCTAAACGTGACTCTGCTCTCTCTTAAGTGACAATTTCTCTGCTATGTTTTCCTACGTTACATTTAAAAGATAGAACCAGCAAAGCAGGTGGTGGGAGTGGCCATAAAGTAGGAAAATGAGGGGCTGGTCAGTCACTTGGGGATATTCAGCTAACAGCTGGATAAGTCTAGGGAGTCCAAGATAGCCCCAGCCACATGCCCTTGGCAATAGCCTGGAAACCAGAAGAAATTAAAGTATTTCAAGGAGGACAGAGTGGTCACTTCTGTTGCATGCTGCTGACAGGTCAAGTGTGGCAGGCACAGAGATGGGAGCACTGAATTTGTCAGTGTGGCGATCCCTCGTGACCCAGACGAGGGCAGACTCAGAGAGGCGGTGGGGTCGGAAACCCAGTGGAAGAGGACTGAGGGGAGAATGTGAGGTGAGGACGTGGAGAGGGGTTATAGGTAACTGCTTCGAGTTACACCGTGAAGGGAGCAAAAAAGGCAGCAGAAGCTAGAGAGAGATGCAGTAAACAAAGTTTTCCTCTTCTGAAGACTATATCCTGAAGCATATTTTTATGCTGATGGCGTGATCCAGTAGCAGGAAAATTTCGATGAAGTAGGAAAGGGAATTTGATAATTGCACACTGAAGTTCTTAAAGCTCAACAAGCATGGGTGACAGAACTGGCTTTTGATAAAGGGGCACTGTTTTCATCATAAAGGCAGGTAGGCAGAGTCCGGGATGGATGCCTGACAGTGGGAAGAGGAGGTGCTCCTAAGTGACTGCTTCTGTTTCCTAGAAGAAGTTTAAGGCAAATCTTCAACTAGGAGGGAACACTGGGGCAGGGAGTGTAGATCTGAAAAGGACGTGAAACACAGTTAAGAGACCCTAATGGCACATGGTGTAGGAGGCCGGCAGGGCTAACAGTCAATTGAGAGCTGTGCCAGGACTGTAATAAAGGACATCCAACTTAAAAAGTTCTAATACTTCCTTCGACAAGAGTTTAGGTGGTGTCCATTCTTCAGAAGTGAGGAGACTGTTAGTCCAAAAGTTTCAACAGGAGAATGAAACGCTTCATAAACTTAAGGCCACATCTTTTGACTTCTGGTTTGCTAAAACAGAAGAATACTACAGTCAGCGACATCAAGAAATGATGCAGGAAGAGGAATGGGAAGACGAAATGGTTCCCAGATGGGATATGAAAATAAAGGAAGAGGAAACAAGACCACAAAGTGAAAAAACACAAGATGCTAAAAAATGGGACTATCTAGTTTCTGAGAGAGAGCTGAAGCAGATCGAGAAACACATACACCGAGCGGAACAAGCTAGAGGCCTCAGAGACCACGAGTATCGACTAGTTCCTCAAAGAATTCCAAGGGAAGTACTTTTCACCAATCCATCCACACTGGAGAAGGATGAGAAGGTTGAAAATATCCACAAAACACCCCAAGCTAAAACCAAAATGCACAAGGTAGAGTGGACAAAGGAACAGATAAAGAAACATCAAGACCGGATGATTCGAGGGAGAGAACTCACAAAGCAAAGAAATGATCAGCAAGGTGCTCAGAAACTCGATACCCAGGCTCCTCCTCTCCTAAAATCTCAAGTGCAGAAAGAGGAAGTAAAAGAATTTGAACAGGTCACAGCCTATCCAATTGTCCAGCCTCACCCAGAAGCACTTATAGAAGTGACAATCCTCAGGGAAAAGTCAAAAGAAGAGAGTAAAATTAAAAAACCACTTCGAAGGGAGCTCTTGTGTATACCACCGTTTTTGAAAAGTCAACTGGAGAAAAATAAAGTTAAAAATATTTTCTAGATTATATTTTTTACGCTAGCATACTTTCATAGCTATTAGTACAGTAAAATCCTATACCCTAATTGTTTCTAAGTCCATCAAACTAAAAAAAAGTTAAGCACCATTTTGTTATATCTCACAGTTGTGTATCAGGAATTCAGGCAGAGCTCAGCAGAGCAAGTTTTCTGCCCCATATGGTACCACTGGAGCCACTCGGGGACACTCAGGTGATGGCTGGGCTAGTCTGGAGGGTCCAAGACTGCTTCCCCTACATGCCTTTGCAGGACGGGCTAGAAGGCTAGGCTTCGCTTGGCTGGTCCCTTCCTCTTTCTCTCCTCCCCATGTAGTTTCAGGTCATGTAGTAGTTGAATTTATTACATGGTGACTGAGGATTCTGAGAGGCCTGCAAACACTACAAGGCTTTTTATGAACTAGCCTCAGAAACCCCAGAACATCACTTCTGCCATATTCTACTGCTCAAAGAAGTCACCAAGACCAGCCCAAAATCAAAGGGAAGAGGAAACAGACTTCCTCTTAAAAAAAATCTACAGCCTCTCCAAAACTCTGAAGTCTATCACACACCTCTACACTTAGTTATACTCTAAAAACTCAACAAGTATCTTTATATAAACAAAGAATACTGTGATTTCAGTTTTGAGTTGATCTTGACTAAAGAGGCCTACCCCCTTCCCCCCTTGCAAAGGTAAATATAGAAGAGGATGTAAAAGCCTGTTAAAATTATTATGCAGACAACATATTGTCTTGCATTCTCCAATTCACCTGAAATCGAATGGCATATCATGACCCTAGGCCTAAGCCCTATCCTTGCTAGAGATCCAGTCTCCAGGATGTAGCCCCTCAAGGGGGAAGAGAACATAGAAGAAATAAAACAGGACACGTCCCATTCTCTAGTATGAAGAGCTCTATTGAGAATATGGACTAGAGAATAGGGTAGCAATTTATGGGGAATGTGGAATCTAAGAACGTACCCCGGATGGCAGCTCCTTAGGTAGGCAGAGCAGTTAGGAGGAAAGCCTGGCTCGTATTCAACACCGGTGCCTACCTCCTGCCGGCCACCAGCAGCACAGAAGGCGCAGCCCTGGCTGCAGGGTAACTCCACACGAAAAGACGTGCAAATAAACCACGTGCGGAACACAGGCAAGAACAAGGTGCTCCTAAAACACCAAGTTCTGGGGGGAAAGAAAGGTGTTGGGGATATGACATGAGTTTGATTTTGAGCTTGAACTCGAGTTAAAGATAATATGCAGTAGTCTTGGTTTTTATTATTATTATTATTATTATTATTATTATTTTCTGCATGTAAAGCAGACGTGCTAACCGCTACACTATGGAACAATGTCCTTGTTTTTTTTCAATTCAGAACTTGAAAGAGGAAAAAGTAGCCCATAATCAGCCTGTCTAGATAACATCTGGTGATAATTTTTTAAAATAATGAAAAAGTCCACAGTTAGAAAACCCAATAGTTCCAGAAAGGTACCAGCTTTTCCTCCTTGGTTTAAAAAAGGTAACCGCTTTTAAATGTCTTACATAAATAGTGTTTGAAACAAGTAGAAGAAAGGGGAAGAGGAAGGCAACACCCAAACACACACACTTGAAAAATTATGTTAAGACCACATGTGTGATTCCATTTATGGGAAACATCCAAATTAGCAAATTTGTGGGGATAGAAATAGGCAAATTTATAGACAAAGTAGGTTAGTGGTTGGTTAAGGCTGAGGGGTGAAGGGTGGGTGAGGAAGGTTGAGTGACTGCTAATGGGGAGGGGTCATAGGAACAAGAATGTTCTAAAATTAGATTGTGGTAATGGTTGCAGTGATTCACAACCCGGTAAGTAGACCCCAAAAAAAAAAAAAAGAAAGAAAAAGAAATACACTTTAGATGGGTGAATTGTATGGTATGTAAATTATATTTCAACAAAGCTGATTAACAAAAATGAAAGAGATAGCTAGAGTTTAGATAGGAGGGAGAAAGCCTAGAAAAGTAGCCAAAGAGACTGATCATGCAAGGTTTTCAACATCACTGTAGAGCTCAGGTTTTTTCAATCTTAAAGGCACTGGGGAGTCACTGAGAAACTGACATGTTTTTTTGAACAAGTGGGAGAAATTTGAAAGATATATGGGAAGCAGGGGACACCTGATGGGAATCTGTGGCAGAAACCTGGGCAAGATGGAGAAGCAAGAGACAAGATGAGAATTTGTGACCGATTAAGGTGGGGATTGTGGGGAGTAAAGAAAATAATTTCAAAGCTTTGTTTCTGAGGAAATAAAGAGTAAAAGTACCAATACAGGGACTATAGGGAGAAAAAATTGGGGAGCTGTTTTATACGTGTTTAAAACAGCCCAGATGCTGTCCAAGAAGCCATTAGTTCCATGTATCTGTAGCTTTTTAGAGAAGTTTAGTCAAATAAAATTTTGGGAACGTTCAGGATATAGATGTAGTATAAACCAGGATAGTAAGACGGTGGAAAGGGAAGCAGGGAAAGCATCAGATGTAAAGATGTATGGTTTTCAAGAAGTAAATTCTCAAGTGTCAAATGCACAGCATTTATCCATTGGATTTAACAACTGGGAAAGGCATTGTCACTAAACCTGGCATGAAACAGCCTCGGCAGACTGACGGTCGGAAAGGAGGTGCTACAGTGCCATGGTTTAAGGACTGACAGAAGGGGAGACAGCAAGTGGTTCTTATTTAAAGAAGAGACCTGAGGGCAGGAATGAGAAAGGAGAGATGTAGAAAGCTGGAGAATGGGGAAAGAAACCAACTGGGGACTCAGAAAACACCAAGGACGGACCTGAATGCCCCCGAAGACCAGAAGCACGAGGGCGACATCGCTCCGTGGAGCGGGGTCCTCGGGAGCGGCGAGCAGCCCTTGCAAACAAACAGGGCGGCTGGTGGGTGGGATCAGGGTTGGTTTGCTCGGGAAGTAGTCCAGCCTGGCCTGACCGAATAGTTTCTTGTGTGTAAATCACAGGCTGAATCATAGGACATTACTGATATCTGACCATGTTTTACCTATAAAAACAATTTCATATGGTACAACCTCTTATTTGTTGAGTAGCTAACTTTACAGCTGAAGAACCATAATGATCTACAGGCCATTAACAACCTGACTAAAACTTTCAATGAGACAGGACTGGAGAAAGAAACCATCCCAATAACAGAAAATAAAGAGTAACTACGATTATTTGTGAATATGGCAGTGAATTTCCTTTAATCAAAGACAACCATGACAAATTCATTCACTATCAAAAGCTACATTTTACTAAAAGCAATCTGTCTTTAAAAATGTTTAATCATACAATATATACAATACATGCTGCTCTTCTTTTGGGATTTCACTATCCACTTGAGTCCTAAAAAAAGGGAAAAAATAGGTTAACAGTTTATAAATCAAAAGTTCATTCACTATACATAAATGAAATCTAACAACTAGCCTCTCCTCAGTGGGGGGGGCCCACGTTAACCCACATTATGTGTCTTATGTCCACCCTCCCCTCTCCCTCAGTCGTCCTGGAACAAAAGCAGCTCAATTAAATGAGGCACATTAGGAAAAGGTTACAGTAAGTACTAAAAAGCGAATTTTAACTTTTGAAATCAGAGAATTGAGCTAGGAAAAAAACTTTAGCAATTATCTAATTTAAAATTCCCATTTTACAGGCAGATTTATAGAGGAGGAAAATGAACCTGGGTGAGATTAAGAGACTGGCCCAACATCTTAAAGTAAGGGGCAGAGCAGCCGAATCCAGACCTCCCGATTCCCACCCGCAGCTGCCTGCAGCAGGATGCCAGGTCAGACCCAGACTTCCTTCTAGCTATGTTCTCCTTCGTAAAGTGAAGAATTACTTCATAACCAACTCAAATTCCAGAGATGCCCACTTACTAACTTCATTCGCATGTAATCTTCCTTTTCTGCTCTGTACATATAAAATAGGGGAATCTAATGGGACAGTGAACAAAACTGATGGGAGGATTCGATATTCCAATCATCCTATTTATCAGTTGGCTTTGTTGGGGGCGGGGAGCCAAACCAAGAACAAACTCCCGCTCCGCCTCTATCAACTGTGCGTCATAAGAACAGCAAAGTAATGTGTCCAAAGGAGGGAGCTTGCAGCCACCAGGCCCCGCTGTCTCTCACCAGCGCGCACAGTTCCAAGAACGGGCACTAGGGGGAGGCAGAACCCAAAGTCTACTGGGATGTGACAAAAGGGATGGTTTGGAAAGCCAAGTCAAGTTAATAAAAACGTGCAGCCCTCGCGTAGGAAACGTTACCTGCAGCTGGCGTCAAACACTTAGCCTCTGCTGGCTCTGGCCCGACGTAATCACAGGCTCTGAGATCTCGAAGGTCTTCACAATCTCCTGGCAGAGAACAAAGCACATATGGGCACTGGGTGTACAGCGGTGTGGCCGAACTACCCAGAACACTCAGCCGCAGCGTGCAGAGCTTTACCTCCCAGTCGCGGTAACTCAAAGCTATGATTCCTTGATTTCTAACTTGGGTGTTCTGGTCGATGCCCTCGCTTTCTTCATTAATATCAATAGGCTCTGTTTGAAAAACAAAGTTTTCAAAGGTCATCCAAACAGAAGAGGTTATCTGAACAAAAACTGACGAATAAGAATGAAACCAGTATTGAGAAGACACTTATCGTATTACACACATATTAGGATTTCGTGCATCGGTGAGTTGCAGTATTATTACAGTAGCAAAGAAACACATTTATTTCCATTAAAAAAAAAAGTAGAGTAACACATTCCAATCATTTGAAAACCTCTGCATATCTATGTACCAACCACAGAACTAAGCCCTGGTAAGTCCATATAAAACTGAGTAACATACAAGTGCAATAAAAGTACTTCATTCTCTACAGGAAACCTTGAAAGGAAGAGAGCAGTGGAGAGTGTGAAATTATTCGACTAAGAATTAAACATTCTCTCATCAGGAGAAAAATAGAAGGAAAGCACAAAAAACTAATTACAAACATTCTAAATTAAAATCTGAGAGAAATTATATCATTTCTTATTAAATTTACAACACATATCGAATCAATGATACATAGATGAATCCATCAGTTTTAAACTAAGGCCATATTTTCAGTTGAGCAAGATAGAGCATTATAAAAGTTTGTTACCTAAATGAAAACTCTTTTACATTTAGTAAAATACATTTCATAAACTCTAGTACCAAACAGATTTTTCTCTAAAACTGATTTTTCTGAACATAGTATCATTACCTATAATTGGCAGTCGATCTTGGTCAAGTTTTATCCTTGCAAAACCATCCTAAAACACAAAAATGACATTAGAAGAAGACTAAAACTTAAATCCCAAGCCTATAATCGTTGGATGAAAAAAATTAATTAGAAAATTCAGTCTGACAATGAAAGTACGTCATAACAATAACGAAGAGATTACATTGACAAGACTTTGACATCTTTCTTTACATGGGCTCCCAGGCTTCCAATCAGCTTGTGTGCCCAGACACAGCCTCCATCCAGAGGGCCTCTTAAATAAAACTGTAACTGTCTTGCCTCTTTAACTGATTTATACATATTTGTGAATATTCCACATTTTATTATGCATAATTCTGTCATTTACCATCAACAAAATATGCCTGTTATCATTTCTAGAAAAATAACTTTGATCAATACAATATTTTTGTCTGAAGTTAGGATTAAACTCATCTTACAGGTGCAGGAAAGCAACCTGATATAAGACTTAAGACAATCTAAAGCAAATTTCCATAGTACATTTCCTTTTACTCGCCTACAGCACCTGGTCTTCCTAGGTGGTCTCCCATCCACGTACTAACCAGGCCCGACCCTGCTTAGCTTCCGAGATCAGACGGGATCGGGCTTATTCAGGGTGGCATGACCGATCTTGTATTCTGAAATAACTTCAGACTTAAAGAGTTACAAGATTACAGTAAAAACTCCTATATATCCTTTATCCAACATCACCAATTGTTCAAGTTTTGCCACATTTACTTTATCACTATATATATTATATTATTAACTTTTATGAGTGATAGACAACTTGACCCTTGTCCATGATACTTCAGTGTGTATTTCTTGAAAACAAAGATATCTTCTTACACAATAAGTATCAAATTCAGCAAATTTAACATTTATACCATACTGTTATCTGAGCTATAATTTCATGTTCAAATTTTGCCAATTCTTTCGCTAAATAATTTATAAAGTGTAAAAACAGAAAACACAAATTTTGAACTTGTTTCTTGTATTAGATAGTTTCCTCTGCCTGCAGGTCAGTTTAATATTTTGCTACAATGGGTCTAACATGCATACTAGTTAATACAAAAATCATTGCCAGCTTCCATCTATAGCTTTTATTATTTATCCTTTTAAAAAAATATAACGCAATTAGAGAAGTAAATCTTACCCTGATAATGAAGGAGACATGAAAGATGTTTTCCACCGTCCGGGGAAAAGAGTGTGGATCAACCACAAAGTCAAAGAAGGACATAGGAGTATCAGCTATAGAGACAAGAGGAAAAAATTCTTTAAGGCAAGAAAATGAGTTTTGCTTATCAGTAAGACCAACACTCTCTAGCGTTAGCCAGAGAAAAGAAACAGGCACTGGCTGTGGGAGTATAAATCGATACAACCCTTCTGGAGGGCAGTCTGGCATAGCTATTAAAAATACGAATGCCCAGAACCCGGCAGCCCTCCTCTAACAAGCTGTCCTACAGAAATATTAGCATACACGCACCAAGCTGCATGCCGAGACTTTTCACTTCTGTGGTTTATGAGTAAAATGTTATAAAGAACTTACTCATCCACTTACAGAAAATTTGTTAAATGTTTGTTTATGATATAGGCACACAGTGGGGATCACCGAAAAGAATAAGGGGGAATCTATATGTACTGATATGGAAAAATGCATGGAAAAGTCATGTTGCAGAAGAATGTGTTTATTATGATTAGCCTTGAAAAAAAATCCTAACTACTTATATGCATATTTAAATGAGTGACAAAAATGTAAGATAATCTGAAAATATACACATCATGTTTTATAGGTGGCTACCTCTGGGGGGTGAGGAAAGGTAGGATAGGTGCTTGACGTCTTACTTTTCTTACTTTTATGTTTTATTTTTTAACAATAAAGTTATTTCACCAATGTTCTCACATGAAACTTCTAAAGGGGCGCAGTCTCATGAAATATATATGCCAAAAGAATCAAAAAGATTCAATACATTTACCTGAAAATACCTTTTTATTTTTTTTATTATTATTTATGTCTACAGCACCTGGTCTTCTTAGGTGGTCTCCCACCCAAGTACTAACCAAGCCCGACACTACTTAGCTTCCGAGATCAGACATCGGGCTTGTTCAGGGTGGCATGGCCATAGACCACGGACCATAGCTCTACGGGGGCGTGAACCCAGGCCCTTCTGCATGTAAAGCAGACGTGCTAACCGCTACACTATGGAACCACGCCCTGAAAATGCTTTTTAAATAAAACTACCTTCTCATTGAAAGTGGCACATGTCGAACTGGTGCCACTATAAATCGCTCTATTTTGAACTTGGTATCACACTTACGATCTTCTCGAAAATAGGTTTGCAGTAATCCCAAGATTCTTTCTACTTCTTTTTCTGTTGCTTCTTGATGAGATTCTTCCATTCTTTTTAACTGAAAATATAAAGTCATCATCAAGCTGACTGACCTGTTTGCCTGCCCAGTGACCTTTTCTGCTCTCTTGCACATCCAAACTCCTCTAAACGTCTTGCTATTAGGGATTGCTAGCCCCCAATCCCCACCTTAAAATCTGTAGTTAAAAAAAATTCTACTTTCAGTAATACTTTTGTTATTTTTTACAGAGGAGTAACATTACCAAATCAACCATTTTCATGTTGAACATAAAATAGCAAAATACAAAAAGGGCCCTTTAGAACAGTTCTCAATGGGAAGTGATTTCACCCCACCCCCACCCCCACCCCCACCCTGGGGACATATGCCAGTATTTGGTTGTCACACAAGGACTGGAAAGGAAAGATGCTCTTGGCATCCAGGGGAAAGAGGCCGAGGATGCTGCTGAACATCCTATAATATACAAGGCAGCCTCTAGCAACAAAGAATCCTCCAGCTCCAAATGCTGATGGTGCTGAGGTTGAGAATCCCTGGTTTAGAACTGATCCAAACTACAGAAATGAGTTAAAATCAAGACAAATGGCCAATCCAATGAAAAGTTTAAAGGCTTAAATGAAATGGTTAGTTAAGTGACCGAACCTGACTCGAGGCCCTGAAGCTTAGAAAAGATGGCCACATTGCACGTATGTTGGATTAGTGGCTGCTTCAACTTCAGGTGTTTTGAAAGGCGACATTTATAAAAACGAACCTGGGCAGGCATCTCCCGCCGCTCTTCTATCGTACGAACTTTTCTTGGACGATCAGTTCGTGGCTTTGGCACAGGAAATTCTCCTTGTATTGAACCCAACCTGATGAAAAATACACTTTCATGTCTTTTTTTGTTTTCTAAACAAACTAATTTCAATAAGTGAAAGCTGTTCCCATGGTACAGTCAAATTCGGACATCAGTGATATTCTAGCCGACATCAGACCAAGCCTCTTGCCAGGTTTGTGACATCCTTTCTGCTCCTTTTGTTTCTAGAATAAGTCTTAGGAGCTTTACTCAAATACCATCATATTTTGCTCTGAACAGTAAGCCGGTAAATATGCTTCTGGTTTTCCAGCTACCCTACTGTTTATATTTCTGAAAGCCAACTTCAGAAATCAGAGGAAGGACAAACACTTGGCGAGGGGGAGGTTAAAAGCCTTTGGATGAGGTGTGCCATGTGGAGGCTCACAGCCTGCAACCCCAGAACACACCTGTCTTAGGAGAACAGGACTGGCAGAGGCCATGGGACTCCTTTTCCTATTGAACTTCCTCTACCCCCCAAAAAAAGCCCTCCTGCAGACTTAAACTTCAGTAATAGCTGTATCATTTAGAGACCAAGGCACTAAGAACTTAGACCCATGTGGTCTCTCTGCTTGAAGAGAGCAAAGTATACAGCATAGACAAGACAGACATATTCACACACGAGAGATTCCAACATAACATGGGAGACCCTATCGTGCTCTATCAGAGTGCTACGCGCATGGTGTGAGGGCATTTGGGCAGAGCTATCTACCCAGACATGCAAGTAATCCAGTTGGGGAATATGATCCTACACTGATACTTCTGTCTGGAGAAGTTACGGAGGCTTCCAAGTGGGATAAATAAACCTTACCAGATGGAAAGATGGGGGAGAGGACATTGCGGGCCAAAGGAACATCAAGTGCAGGGGCACAAAGGTGTAAGTAATTCACTGCAGCTGGAATCCGGGCCGGACAATGAGATGAAGTGTAGGTCACACCACCAAAGGCTAGCCTTAGGGTCTAGATTTATGACAGAACCTAGAACTCAACAGATTGGGAGTTTATCTATAACGAAGTTTGATCTTTAAGCTATAATACAGTGGTTCTGGGCACCTGAGTTACCCCAAGGCTTGTTAAAAACAGGTGCCTAGTACACCTGCACGTACAGATCCCTGAGACACGACCAGTCTCAGGAGGTTCAGAAGGGCGAATCAGAAGAGACAAATGCCCAAGAGCTATACCACCTAAGGAAGATGCAACTTGGGTGGTGACCCCAGAGCAGCAGTCCCCAACCTCTCTGCTACCAGGGGCCAGTGCTCCTATGAGAATCTAATGCCTCATGCTCTGAGGCGGAGCTGAGGCGGCGATGCTAGCGCTGGGGAGCGGCTGCAGACACAGATGAAGCTTCACTCCCTCGCCCGCCACCCACCTCCGACTGTGCAGCCTGGTTCCTAACAGGCCACGGACCAGTACCAGTCCATGGCCCAGGAGTTGGAAGCCCCTGCCCTAGAAAAAGTATCTCCTGGGGAACAAAAGCAATGTATTTGAACACAAAAGAACCAGGAAGAGCTGTGCTTAAGTTTCTCCACAGGACTGAGCTAGGAAATTAAAGACAGAAGACAATTTCATTTTGAGAATAAAGGAAAATTGGAGTTGTTTCCAAAAAAGGAACTGGGCGGTTTATGTGACCGAGACTCAAACAGTCTTCAAATACAGGCTAGGGATTATCCAACAGGGAATTATATAATAAATGGCACTTTACACATATTGTTAGAATCCTAAGATACCCGTCATAGGCACGATCATCCTTCCATAATGACTTTAAGATGAAAAAACACAGCTAGACACTGTGCCACAGAACCGAAGTCTCGCATACGATAAAGCGAAGGGGCCAGCAGAGCGCTCCGGCAAGGAGGCTCCGGCCCAGAGCCGGTCCTGATGAGATTAAGCAGGACCAGGTCCCATCCACATAAAGTTCAGAGTCTCCAGACAATGGCATCATGATCGTCACCTCTACAATATCAAATAACTTTTGTCCCTACAATAAAAAACAAGGTTTACAAATGGCTGGTCTGTCGGATTTTTAAAATAATCTTACAGAAAGTGGAATGTATGGGTTTTATTAAAGGTGTTTTCTGCTGTTTTGCCTGATATTTTCCAGGAGTCATAGACTATGAATTCAAAATCAGAACCATCTTCATCATGGATGAGTTCTTCAGCTTCGAGCGGATTTACACCCATGTGTGTCAGCTGCAAAAATGAAGGGAAACAGAAGACCCCAGTTAGGCCACGAGCCATCATTCACCCCATGCCACGATCTGTTCTGCCAAACTTTAAGAGGCTAGAGGCAGCTTCTGTGTCCGAACACGTTGGCTAAATTTCTTACTATAATCTTATATATAAATTACTATTTTAAAAGGTACCTTCTTTTGGCAGAGGACAGTCCTCAATGCATTTAGAACCTTCGGTGAGAAAGACAATGTAGGCCAGTGGTTGTCAAACAGTGAAACGGTTCCCCAGGGGTCTTTTGGCATTATCTGGAGACATTTTTGGGAGGGTGCTCCTAGCCATCTAGTGGGTGGAGGCCAGGATGCTGCTCTACATCCTACAGTACACAGTACAGCCCTCCCCAACAAAGACTTACCCAGCCCCAAATGTCCACAGTGCCAAGGCTGCGGAACCAGTTCTAGCCCATGGCAAGCTGCAGGGTTTGGGTATGCCAAAAGAACTAAGCCTGCTACGAATTTCTGGATCACAGGGAGTTCGTTTGCAAAATATCAGTAAAGCTGTACTAGCATAAAAATATGAAATCGCATCCCAAATCAAAATCTCCAAAACAAAATAAGAAAGTTTAGCTGGCATTCGGATTTTCATTTTTACAAGCTCCCATGAACCTCTATTCAGCATGTGTGTCGGCATATCCAGAGCAGTGGCTAGAGCCAGCGAGAGGACCGCTCATCTAAAAACTGCCTTCGTGGAAAGAGCTGGCAGAAGCCTACTAATTCTCCTATCTCAGACCACCTTACAGAAAATGTATTATATTCAATTGGCTTTTATGAAAGTACTTTTATTATTATAAAATTATAAAATGCCTAGAAGTTATCAAATTAAAATAGTAATATTGTATAGAAACGATAATCAAAAAGCCCTCAAGAGAGCTTAACCCTATCAAAGGCAATCCATATTTTTTAGAAAAGAGGCTGCGAGAGGCCGACCAGAGAGCTACGGTCAGCTCCCCTCCACGCTCCTCTGCCCCGTCCACCACCACTTGCTTGCAGGAGGACGTCTCAATTTTTGTCCAGTCAAATCTACCTATCTTGTCTTTACCGCCTCTATATTTATATATTTATATCTATATATATTTATATATTATACTTGTAAAGTTCTTTTCCACACAGACACCAGACAGCTATTAATTTAAGATTTTATAAAGAATGCTTTCAGACTTCTGGAATTTATTTTGCTATGTTAAAGTACAGAGCTTACCCTAATAAACAGAAGTAATTTTTAAAAAGATAACCCAATATAGGGCCACTTTATTGGGCCACACATTACTGTGCATTTTTAAAAATGCATTATACTTCAAAATAAAAAAAGTTTAAAAAGGTTTGAAATTTAAGTCAGTTAAATTTTAAATTTAAAAAGAAAATAAGGTTTTAAAAACAACAGAAACCTCAGACCTTTACAAAATAATTTATCTCGTCGGATCTCATAATGATACTAAGTCATTTTAATAACCATATAACAAACATCCAGTCAGAAATTCAATGTCCTAGCAGAAATGCTAGGACAGAGGTTGGCTCAGGGTAGTCAAGAAAAACAGACGACAGCGTAAGATACAAGGTCAGTCTCCCTGTGCTTTTTTGGGTAAATCAATCAAGGAAAAGTTTCAAAATTTCAGGTAACAACCATTCAAACTTATTAAGAGGCAAAGAAAAGTGACTAAAACAACAATCAAAACCCCCAAAAAGCAAAATCTCAATCATATTTATATGGGTCTGAAACATTCTCAAAGACAAACCAAAACACGCCTCTCCACCGGAAGGATTCAGCTCCAGCTGAGCTGCTACCTGCAGTGTGGGTTTCTGCCGTCCCCTGGGCAAAGGTCCCTGGTCACTGAGAATGAGCTAGAACACTTATGAACTGATAGGTAACTAAGGAAAAAAGCAGCCATTTATAAATAAACAAGGCCCCAGAGTCTGAGAATGCTAGAGATTTGCAGATTGCTCCAAGCCCCTGACCTAGATTCCCACCACATAGCTCTAGTGGCATCTGTTTAATTTGGTAAGATCTCTTTGAAGAAATCTGAGACAGAAAATTTTTAAAAAGTAAAAACGAAGTGAAAACCATTTGCATACGGATATAAGCAAAGTAGATAATTATACAACATATGACAGAAGAAACATTTTTTTTTATTAAGATTCTGTAGCTTTGAACTTACTAGAGTTTCAACATATCTTAACATATCGAATGAGTTCAGATCAGAACGCAGTTGTTTTGCTTTTTCTTTGCCCAAATCTGAAGCCAAAACAAGAAAGTGGGCATCCAGGACTGCTTCTCTTGCTCGAGACACTATTCAAAAAAAGAAAAATCCACAAATTACAAAATACACATTATCCACAGGTATTTCCCCTAAATTTCCAACTAGCTACTCAGCATTTCCCACTAGACGAAAAACATACCCACGTCTCTCTAAAAGCTGGCTCCCCTGCCCAAGATCAAGATCTGGAATCAAAGCTGACCGGTCTTCCTAAAAGCCAGCTCTGCCTCCAGTTCTCCTGCTCCTGGGAATTGAACCACAATCTCTTAAAAACCCCTGTTTAACCTCTGTAATCTCTGTCACTGACTTTTCTCTTTGACTCCAGTAACCCATCCTAGCCATTATTATCACCTGTGCTGATCCAAGTCAAACCGAGCACTCACTATGTGTAAGGCACTGGGCTTGGCGCGGTTTGCTGACCAGCAACAAACAGGTATGCTGTCAAGGAGCCTCGGCTGAAATGATGGGTAGGTGCTGGGCAGGCAGCGGGAGGTCCCTAAGCACCACGCGAACAGTCTGGAGGGAGCAGGGCAGTGACCTTGGAGGACGGGGGATCCCAAAAGGTTTGACACAGGACACGGGATTTAAGATAAGATTTAAATAAAAGGAGGCAAGAAGACGGGGAAAGGTCCACTGGCGGAACCAGCAGTGCTTGCTGGGGTGTATGGCCATCGGACCCTTTCGGAAACAGGCAGTGTCTGGGACACTTGCAAAGGCCGAATGAAAAGGAAGCCAGGAAGAGAGAAATGCAGCAAAGTTTATTCCCAGGCCATTTCACTTGGCTCACCGATTTTCTGAATACCCCTCAGGCTGGTGAACTTGTGGACTCCAGCTCTTGGTTTTATAAGTCATTTTGCCCCCTCGGTTTTATTTCAGAAGAGTCACTGCAAAAGTGGCAGTGAGTGAGGGAACGAAGCAAAGGTGGATGCGAGTTCCCGGGCTGTCTGGGTCTCCCTCACCCATTAGCCTCCCAGCATGGGAGTAAAGTGCTCATCTCTGCGGGGGATGGCTTTAAGGCCTCCGAGGAGATCAAACCGAGACCATCGAACCCGTGGATGCTAAGGAATTCTGTGTTTGCTGACTGACTCCGTAGGCCCAGGTGAGTGGATCATCTTGCCTTAAAGAGGGGACCCAGATGGCAAAGTGGAAACAGGCGAGGCGATGATGTGAGGATCAGGAACTAGTAAGATGCACAGTAAGTATCAAGGGAGCGAATGAGTCAAGAGCAACCTTGAGGAGACTGACTGTGGGTCCAGCCTTGGGAGAGAAGAAAAAGCGAAAGAGGGTGGAGGAGGGACCAGGAGAGAGGCTGGTTCCTGAAGGTTGTGACGATTAAGCAAACTGGCAGATCAGGGCGGGGCCCGGCGAGGAGGTGGTCAGAGCAAGACAGACACACATCTGAGAGCATAAAGACAAAAAAGCTAAAAGGGCACAACATTTACATCATTAACCAAACTAGGAACCGACCAGAAATAAATATTCCGGTCTCCAAAGAACAGGCCGAACTGTGGGATCACGCGGCCCAAGTTCTGTTGACTCTTCTTCACCACTGCCTGTGTCCACATCCTTCCTGCCATAGAAGAGAAGGGCCTGGAGGGAAAGGGGACTGGGAACTCGTCCTAGGACGCTGAGACCCAGCGCCACATCAGGGAGCACAGCATCCTGTCCTCTCTTGGAACAGATTGCTGCTACCACTACATTGCTGCTGCCTTTAAGTCAAGCAATGACTATTTTTCAAAGCGTCCTCACCCCATGGTCTAGAGCTCAGTGCTCGGAGATCGATCTCTCTCTCTCTCTCTCATAAACACACACACACACACCCCCTAGAGACCAACAGGGCCATGTGTAGACACGGCCACCCCCACCAGGTTACAGGTGGACCAACAGCAAGATGCTGAGGAGAGGCCCTCAGGAGGAAGACAGGAAAAGAAACAGGATGTCAGACGCCAGCTCAGTCCTTTAATTCATCCATTCAGTAAACGCATGTGTGTATCCTGGGGACGGACACAGCGGTAAATACAACAGAAAGATCGAAGGTAACACATGGAAAGTTCTCAAGCAACAGAACCACCTGAGCGACTTGTGAAAAGGTTGCTGGCCTGCTGCCAGGACTTCCTGTGACACCCTGGGGACATGCTTAAGGAATGGAAAGAGCACCATAAAAACGGTATTACTGCGACAGTGAAAAAGGTTCCCAAACCAGTGAAGCGCTACTATAAATGTGGGAATTGTTTGATGTCAAAAATTTGGCTCATACATATATAAAACTAATTAAAATGACCCTAAAACGTATAACAAAAAGCTTCCATTTTTAAAATAATAAATTACCTTCGTTAAACAGAGTGTTGGCCTCTTCAAGGACCTCTGTTAATTTGTCGCTGGCATTCAGTATATCCTCCCGGTTTTCTATTTTAAAAAAACACAAGCTTGGGGAAATGTGCTCATATTCACTAACAAGTGGTTAAAAAGGGGTCACCAGCAGTAAAGCCACGCCCAGCCCCTGGGGAATTACTTCAAACATCTTTATCGTTTTAACCTAAAAGGCAGGTTAAGAGAAAGGTGACGGTCCCCTTTAAATAACATGAATTTTAAAAGGCGACCGTCTCCATCTAACCTTCACCCAAAAGGCTCGACTCTGCAGCCCGTGAGGAGCGCTCCTCACAGTGCTTCTCCAACTTTGCAAGGGGCACGCAAGCCCCTGCGGCGCCACACAACAGATGGGCGGGCAACCCCCGGTTTCAGATTGGATTCGCATTTGTGACAGTCCTCAGGTGACGCTACCGCTGCTGGGCTGGCGATCACACCGGGGAACCGCCCCAGTGCAAGAAAAGGAGCCTGGGGTCTGCGCCCCGTGTCTCCCCTCTTCTTGGCTGTCTGGGCTCAGGCGAGTGACGGCCGGCGCCTGGCCTCCAGCTGTGCCGTCCTGCCCAGCGGGGACCTGCGTGCCCCCGCCAAGGTCGTGCCGCTCGATCGGCACGACGGATGTGGGAGCCCTTGGC